CACAGTCCAACTCTGCGATGCCCACTTGATCTAGAAATCCACCGTCACAGTGGAACAAGTCTGATTTTCAGCTTCAGTATGAGCTACACTGTAGGCCAGGTGAGCATCGAGAAAGCTCCTCGGTCCTCCGCTCCGCGGGTCAGGCTCACCTGCGAGGCATGTCGCCAGCGCAAGGTCAGATGCGACAAGTTGAGCCCCTGTACAAGTTGTCAGCGTCTCGGTCTTGTCTGTGTTCCCGTTGAGCGCGCACGGCTGCCAAGAGGGCGGACGCGAAAACCCGCTGAGCGGGTCGGGGGCTCGGACAAGGAATTATCTGAGCGGGTCGCGAAGCTTGAGGCCCTCCTGAGGAAAGTTGCCACGGAGCGAGATGGCGACGCGGATGCTACAGTTACTGAGGCTTCACATCCTTCGGCTGAGGTCAGGAAGGTTGATCCCGACGGGGCCGATCACAGTGAAATTCCCAGTCCGAGTGTCCCGCATCGACCTCATCCGTCGACTACTTATATGGGAATCTCCTTCTGGGAGGACATTATACAACAGGTTAGTTTATCAGATTGACTTCTTACATATTTATTTGAAATAAACCCCTAACTCGAATGCCAGACGCAAGAATTGCGCACTGTTCTGGACGACCGTCTAGAAAACGAGTATAGCGACGTCAAAGACTCGAACGGCTTTGGATTGTCCCTTGTGAGCTCGGAGAGTCCAGAGGGCTCAGCGAATTCGCCTCATTCTAACAAAGGGGTCTTCCTACAACCTCATATTCGGCAAAGGCTTTGCGACATCTATCTGCAAAATGTAGATCCAGTTTTCAAAGTGATACACAGACCTTCCCTACGAGACTTCTTAAGGGACGAGAAGCCATATCTGGACTATGAGCCAGATCATCAGGCGCCGGCTACTCTCGCATCTGCGGTTTATCTTGCCGCCGTGTGTACCATTGATGATGCGGAATGTCAGTCGTTGTTCAATGCCGATAAAAGAACAGTGATTGCAGAATTCCAAAAAGAAACCGAAGGAGCGCTGGCAAGGGCCGACTTTGTCACCACGAATGATCTCGCTGTTTTGCAGGCCTACGTCATCTCATTGGTAAGTGCCATACCATCAGTGCAACATGAGATCCATATCTAACCTCTACTTAGCTCGCTGCACGATCTCAAGATCAAAGCCGAAGAGTATGGACTATGCTAAGTATGGCACTGCGAGTAGCACAAGCACTATCTCTACACCTCGTCGAGCCACCATTCTACGTCACGCCTTTTGAACAAGAGATGCGCAACCGTGTATGGTTAGGAATCGGCATCCTCGACATAGCCGCCTCCCTAGACCGAGCATCCGAGCCAATGATGCAAGCAATCTGGATTGACTCCCACCCACCCTCAAACATCAACGACGAAGACATCTGGTTCGGCATGCCAGGACCAATCCCACAGCACCCACCCGGCACATTCACAGACATGACGCACTCCCTCGTGATAGCCTCCTCCACATCCGTCACCAGATCACTCGCATTCGCAGATTTCATCGAGCCAAAAGCAGTGGAACTGATGGGCCAGCGACAACAAGCAGTCCACAGCTTCCAACAAACAGCCGCATCCCTCCTAAGCGGCTGCAGGCCCGACCATTCAGATTTCCAATGGTACACGCAGAAAGTAGCTGGCGTGATGAGCAGCTGGCTCCAACTAGCCTGCCTACGGCCCCTCTACAAAAGCAAAACCTTCACCCCACCAAAGATCCACGGCGACGCCCTCCTCAAGCTAGCAGCCGACAACCTCCAAACATCCCAAGAAGCGTACAGCTACCCAGGCGCCGCACGATGGCGCTGGTTCGGTTCGTTGTGGGTACCATGGCACGCACTAGCAGTAGCAATCGCCGAGCTATGCGTCTGCAAAGACCCATCAATAATGTCCCGATATTGGTCCGTCGTCGACGAAGTCTACCAACGATCCCGCTTCGTAATCGCCGACTCACAGCATGGCATGCTCTGGAAGCCAATGGAGAGACTCATGGCACAAGCCCAAACACGACGCCAAGAACTCCAAGCACAGGAGTCTGCCAGCCAAGCCATGTCACGCTTTACATTCAATGATCTCGCTACTGGGTTTATGCCCCAACAAGCCCAAACAATACCCCAGCCTGCTCCTCCCCCACATATGCTCGATATGGGCACGGCTATTGGTCCGCAGACGGGGCTGCATATGGCTGCTCCCCCGACTTCGTTTGCGAATGTTCCTTGGCCGAATGTGTGGGAAGCGATGGATTTCAACGATACAACCTTCGTTCCGCCGAACGACAATGCCTGGCTGAGTTATGAGAATTTCATTGAGAATGTTTACGAATGCGCTGATTCTATATTTTTACCACGATAAGTTATGTCATGCGATGCGTTCTGGAAATATGCAGTGGGTGACTCGTGTATACAATCATAACACATACATGTACATATACATAAACACCGGTGGGAAATGATTGCAGTGGATTGTGGCCTGATTATTATGTCTGTGTTGGAAAGTAGTATAACAAGCTCGTAGATTATGCTCGAGCCCATTAGGTATATCTGAGAGAGTACTGGATCAATTCAAAATTACATAAATCGCGCGGGTGGTGGCCAAATCCAATCTCGCTCCCGGGTCGTAGGATTTTGCGAGTACTTCGTAACACGATGGAGAGTCTTGAGCTTAGATGCCAATCGATACGGTTCCCGTCTTGCCTCTGTCGTCGAGAAATCCCGTTGGATGAGACGGGCGAAGAGCGTCGGGGCAATATGTTTGATGCCGACCTTGAGGGGACCAAGATCTTTTTTTCCTCTCCTTTGTCATCTTTCTCTTCATCGGTGGCACTGGTACGTTTCGGTTCCCACAGCCAGACAAACGGTCTCTTCGAGTCGCGGGACTGCAATGCCTCTCGGTCGACGAACAAGAAAGACTCAGTCCGCAGACCTTTCGGAAATCCCCCCTTATCTCTCTTTTCAGTGAAAAGACCTCGTAGATCCTGATCAGGAGTATGATCTCTTTGAACTCAATGCAGAGTAAACTTCGCAATCGTCTCATTCTTGATCCTCTGCACCCGATAATGCAAACCATGATAAATGGCCGTCTCAATCTGCTCCCTAAACACCACCCAATCATCCCGATCCGGATAAAAGGCCACAAGTCCGCAAACCTCACTCTCAGTATCAGAGAGCACCTGCTCCTGCCACGGCACAGTCATCGCCAAAATATTATGTCTGGTATCATCATCGTTAAGAAATTTCCCTGCTGCCGAAATGTCCTGATTCCATGTTTTCTGAACCGCATTAGCATTCGCGCGAGCCTCTTTCAATTCTTCCGTCCAAGCCGCGTCATAAGCTGTATGAAGGATATCTTGATCGGCTTCACTCAGACGCAGACGGTAGCGGAGCCATCTTCCCGCTTCCCCCGGGATGAGTCCCCCCAAGAGCAAGCTGGTCTCGTCATACGAGAGAGAATCTCGATGGTCGATGGCCTTTCGGACTAGTTCGGAGAAATTGAGACCGGAGGCTTGTCGACAGAGCTCGTCTTCCTCTGGTCTGGGGGGACGGTGGGTCACCGTTCTTCGTTCTTCATCGGTTAACGACGATGGATTTTCAATAGCTCGACGGTGAAGAGACCGGGTCGCTTCATCCAGGGCTTAGGGGGATTCATCTTCGTTCGGGTCGGGGAAAATGTCCGACACTCGCAAGCGTTGTTGAGCCATTCTTGAGCATCAATTTGAGAAACTATGAAAGTGACTCAACTTGTCAATGAGAATGAGAATAAACGCCAGCTTGAGTGCAGGGAATTTGAGTGCAATGTCAGGACGAAATAGTTTCTAAATACGGAAGTGGTGGGGGTTCCTTGCCTTAATGCAAGGAACTGATTTTCTTTGTAAACATAAGGGACTCGAGGTGGAGATAGATACTGGTCTCATTGGGGTGGCCGACACGGACGGCCGCCTATGTATAACAGGAAACGTCGGGAGGGTAGTTACTCTGATGGCAGTCTCCCGGCAGAATTGACCGGGGCGGTGGAGCCGCATGTTATCAGTGTATGTCTAGAGTTGGTTTTTGAAATCAGGTTGGTTTCGAATGCGGAAGAAAAGGAAGCTTTGGAATATCTTTGGGAGACCGGGCCTTGCAATAACGTTAAGCTTCTCGAAGTACATGCAAATACATGAACCAAGGGCCTCGACAACCCCGAGGCTCCAATATCGACGGCCTATCAATGCAATAATCTGGTACATATACACCGGATTTTAGGCTGCGTGAGATATCCTTCCCTTTCCGTTTTAGTGCTCACCCCTCCCCGCTTTTTGGTCACTGGATAGAACTGGATACAACCCTGAGTAGCCTGATCTGCCTGTGCGAGCCGATGATCTAGTGCGATAGTAGCGGCGAACCTAAGTTGATGAGGGCATATTTTCATACCTTGCTTCTATAGCATCTTTAATCGCCCTAGCAATCACGCGTAAATCTGCCTGCGCAAGCTGATGCGGTGGTAAGCAGCGAATCTTGAGCGAATGAAGACATGCATTGAAGATCGCATCTGACAAATACGATGTATCAAGTGATCAGGCATATGATTCTATTGTAGATAAGTTATTTCTTATTACCCCGCATGTCCCCTTCACAGTGCCATTAGTTTTGAGAATAATCTTGCTTTGACCTGAGTAATATGGCGCATTTCGCTCTTCAGTCATTTGTTTCCTCCTGCCTGGTATCACCAACATACCTATTTCACCTAGTCGGACCAGGCCTACTTGCCTGGATAGTGCTTATAGTTATTCGGCGCGCATGGTTCAGCCCGCTATCTGACATCCCTGGTCCGCGACTCGCTGCTGTTTCTGGGTTATGGCTCATGTGGCAAGATATAGTCCGAAATGGAGCAACAACTCAACTTCTTTTGAAGTTACACCTAGAATATGGTGTGGAATCTCTTCACAATGCTGTCATTTCAGCGAGCTAATTTCGCTAGAATCTGATATAATTCGGATATCTCCTAACCATGTCCATGTTAATGACCCTGACTTTTTCCACAGGTCGGTTAAATAGAACTAACTTCGGTTATTTGAGCCACGCTAAATATCCGTTAGAGTCTATAAGGTCAACTCGGACTTTCGAAAAGACCCTGGCTTTTACCATAGCTTTGGTATGCGGGGATCGCTGCCTATGGAAACTGACAATGAAAAAGCTCAAATTTTACGCAAACTTCTAAACCCTATACTCGCGAAGCCTAGTGTCGATGGAATGGACAAACTAATTTATCAGAAAGTCCGGCAATTCTCTGACCAAACTGCGCAAAAATTGGAGAAGAAGGAAAGCATCAATATGCGACCTCTTTTCCAAGCTTTGTCAGTGAGTAAATTCCTGCATACGACAAAACACTGCTGTGATTCTCCACAATGATCTAAACTAACGATTCTCAACTACCTAGACCGATATCATTTGTGTTTGCTGTTTTGGATGTGAATTCAATATCATCACCAACGAGGATGATCCAGCAAATATTTCTCGTACAACCGATCTAGTCGCTAGCCACCTCTGGAAGGGTAAGTCATATCTGTAACACCCCACAGATCAAACTGATGTTTATATTGGGCAAGTGCATTACTTCCCGTACCTGGCAAGCCACCTGATAAATGCTCCCTACTGGGTGAAACGGTCACTCCTAGCGGGGTATCTTCAATTTCGAGAGGTAGGATGATTGATTGTCAATGACTTGTTGCTTTTTTACTGAACCGGAAATGTAGCAATGCGCTGCACTGATACAAAGCACACTAAGCGTACCCAAAGGCTCTCGAAAAGCAGGAATCATTGACAGCTTGCTCGATGCATCCCAAGCGGGTACCTGGGAATCGCCTGACCAAGAGCTTCTAGTTGAGCAAGTCTTTTCGTTGGTCTTTGCAGGAATAGACACATCCTCTATTGCATTGACATCCGGATTCTGGCATATACTTTCGTGTCCAGGCGTTCTTCGACGACTACAGGAGGAGCTGCGCAGTACCACTCCGGACATTGGAGACACATATGATTGGAAGAAAGTCCGCCGACTTCCTTATTTGGTCAGTGGATCTTGCTGATTCCGTGAATTGTGAGATGCAATATCACATGGACTTACATTACGGTATTGCAGAGTGCGGTCGTCAAGGAGACCATGCGCATCAGCTCCCCGGCCCCAGGAAGATTTCCACGTGTTGTTCCACCCGAAGGGGTACATCACAAGTCTAGCTTTATACCAGGAGGAGTAAGTAAATTGATTATCTTTGAGGTTCAGTGAAATCGATGAGACATTTTGCTAATAGACTAAAATACAGACTACCATCTCCAGCAGTATTTACTTAATCCATCAAAACCCCAACTTGTTTCCTGAGCCAGAGAAATTCCTACCTGAGCGATGGCTTGCAGAGGATAGTATCTCGCTTGAAAAATACATCGTGGCTTTCAGCAAAGGCAGTCGAAGTTGCCCAGGAATACAGTGAGTAAATCTCGTTCATTTAGAGCTCAACTCATTTCTAACAACAACATGTAGTCTCGCCTATCTGGAGATCTACACAGTGTTGGCTACCTTTTTCAATCGATTCGATATGGAATTGTTATCTCCTACCACAGAAGAAGGCTTAGCTTGGTCCGATCACGGCGTTGCCGTGTTCAAATCTCCTCTCAAGGTGAGAATAGTTACAGATCATTGGGGCAAGTGAAGATGAATTTTGCAGCCTAAGGGAAGCATATGGGGCAGATAATGGACTACATTGTTATATCACGGGTTTTGTATCGTTGAATGCTTTTCTACATAAGCATACCTACTAAGTTATAGGATAAAGCGGGAAATGGAAACCGCGTAGAAATCATAAGAACTTTAAGAAAGGAAAAGAGGAGGGAGTGCTCACTGAGTCAAACCTGAGCTACCTCATAAAGCGACGGTACATAGAATAACATAGATACATAGCAGAGCTATCTATCACTTCCCTCCTCAACCCACCCATCTACTCTACCCCCTCTGAGTAATAGCAACCCCAACCCGAAAATGCTTCAAAAACCGCCCCCAAATGACCCTCCCCTCAACCTCGCCAACAGCAACAGGCCACAAAACCCTCGCAGCACCATCCTCAAACCCAATTGGACACCCCTCGGCAGTCACACACTCCGGTGCAGCACTCATATATCCCGGATCAACAGAATTCATAGCAACACGCCGTCCCTTCCATGCAGCCTGTGCTTCCGTCTCTGTTATCATGTTGATTGCCGCTTTGGACATATTCGTGTGTACATGGTGTCCGGCTTTGCTGCTTGATTGCGGTGTATCTTCTAGGATTCCTTCGCGGGATGAGACGTTTATTATGTATGCTGCTGGTGTGGTTTGGGAGGAAGAGGATGGGGAGGGTGGAGTGCCCATCACTGGGAGGAGTTCGCGACAGAGGATTAAAGGCACGAAGGCGTTGACGGAGTGGGCGCTTATTAGATCTGCGTAGGGGATTTCGTTGAGAGATTGGACCCAGGATGATTTTGAGGGCTCGTCGTCTTCCTTGTTGGTTCGGAGACCTTTGGTGGCTATTTGGTTTTGGTTTGCAGAATGGGTACTGATTGCATCTTCAATCTGATACTGGGCTTTGTTGTTCGTAATGCGTGGGATCCAGGTTGCTTGTTGTCCTCCTCTGACTCGGGGTGTGTATCTGTCGTTCTCGGATCCTGCGAGTAGGGCCATGGCCTGTGGATGATCTTTGAGATTGTCCTCTCGGGAAATGGCTCTCATTTCTGCTTTGATTGGATCGGTGAGGGTTTGTGCAGCGTTGTTGATAAGTATATCCAGGGATTGTGGAGCATCAGATGGAGTCTCGCCATCCCAGGCATAGAGTAATTGTTTGACAATGTGCACCAGCCGGAAAGCATCGCTTGCAGTTCTGAAGTCTGCACCGACTACTTTGAGACTTTTCTCCCATTGGACGAAGTCTGGCTCTTTGGAATATCGGATTGCCGCATCGGCTGGATACCTCGAGGATACGATGACTTTGGCTCCGCAGCGGAGGAGTCTCAATGTAGTGGAATAACCTAGATTTATTCTCCCGCCGGTGACGAGCGCGATTTTGCCAGTGAGATCTAGCTTTTCTGGCAGGGAGAGATTTGAGCAGCCGATGTTGAACATGCCGCATTGGCGACATAGTGATGGGTATAGTTTATGAGAATCAGTGGGCGTGAAGCGGTACCGACAGATGTAGCATCTCTTCTTCATATCTGAGGCTTTGGGTGCATCGTTTCTCTGGAAACGTTCATGTTGCGTGTATCGAATGTTATCGTCCATGGAGAGTTGACCACGCAGGGTAACAATAACCTCAGACAGAGGCTCTGTTGGAGCAACCAATTTGTGCTTTTGGAGATAGTCTAACACTTTGAGAGTTGTTTCCAACTCCTCTGATGCTGGGACATGCATACTATCCATGGAAGTGTGTTCCTCAGTCTGAGATTTGGTCATCACTTCCAATTGGCCTAGGTAGGCCTGAACGCCTCTGATAATGCTGTTGCATCTAGTCGACCGCAATGCTTTTGAGACCTCGCTGTGTGGCGTGAGATACCAGGCTATGTCATCAAATAGAGCATCCGAAGCAGAGGATAGTTGCATTGCTAGATTACTGGGCACCTTTCTCTCCCTGCATGCTTGCTGGTCTTGTCGCAGGCGCTGTGCGATTGTCTCTGCGTCTGGCAGAGGCATTCCCTGAGCCTCTTCCTTCATCTTGTTGACGATTTTTTTTAGAAGAAAAGAGACCGAACGGGATAGAAGGGCATAGATAGAAGCTTAAGACAACTTGGCAGAAATACCAAGGCTGTGTTGTATCTTGGCCCCCACTGAGTCATTTGAGACACTAAAGTGGTTTGATTTCGCGAGGGTCCACAATATTCTTTTGACTCTGTTGTCCTCTTCTTTTGACCATATTCTTCAAAGACATCAAACTTGACAGAATGAGCAATCAAAAGACATCAACCAGTTCCATAGTCCGCAGTATAGCGGCTATGCCGACCGAGCTCGCTCACCAGATCATCGATGACCTGCGACTATGTGACGTCCTCAAACTGCTATGTTACGATAATGATCGAGTGGACGCCTGCTTCATGTCCCATCCAATCTGCCGCAACATTTTCGGTGCCGACCCAGAAACTCTCGCCAAGTGGAGATTCGCTGCCCACCTTTATAGAGATATATTCACGGCGGTGGGAAAACCATTTGTACAACCATATTACTTGTTTCGTTGGGGAACAAACCATGGTGCCACAAATATCCACTGTCTCAAGCCTGAGAACTATGAAGGGTTCTTGTATCATATGAAGGACCGCATTTATGATGAGCTCAATATTCATTGGTGCAAAGTAGACCTGACTCGGTTCGGTGCTCCTGATTACGACAGCGGACTTGATTATCGATCTCTCAAGAGGATCCAATCTTTCGAAGAGCTGAAGAAATGCTGGGAAGACATACAGAAAGCAAAGGCAAATTTATTCCAGTTGAGGGCTTCGGAGCTTTACTGGACTGCTGATATGTTGGAAGCGAATTCGGATATCCTGAAACGCACGCTGGACCCCGCACAGGAATTTCGGCCAAATACCACACATATCGTGTCGAGAATGCGGCGTAATGCTGATAAAATCCTGCGGACCCCGATCCAGAAGTTCATCTTTGCTGAACATTTCCGTTATGACTTCCTGGGGATCATTCCGTTCGACTCGGCCTTGGACCAACTGTTGCATATGATGCAAAAGCATGGTATCATAGAAGGTGACCAAGTTATGGCGAGCAACACAAGCATTTCAGCTGGTGCGGCTTCGCACCCATCTTCCATCATCAATTCGGTCCGCATTATCATCGATGGAATGCCGAAGTTTTATATCTCGCCCCCAGAGACGGCAGAGCAACAACACAATTTCGCGTGGAGGAATGCAGCCAACAAAAACGGCGATCTTCTTCGAACGGCGAATACTCCATGGTCTGAACCGTTTGGTGCAAATGAACAGGTTTCTTTGGATGGGCCCTATTTTACACCGTTCAAATACGGTGATAATAAAGGTTTCTGGCGGCCAGAATCCCTTTTCTGGGATCCTCATCATGAGATGGAGAAAGAATGGCTCGCCAGTTTCGTCGAGGTTTATCGGTACTTGAAGAACTTGGATGGATAGATGTTCTTCTTGAATGGCGCTGTTTTAGTGCCTGTGAACCTGTGAACCTGTGACTGGAGTCAGTAGAGCGCGAATAATGGCACTAAATCTTGCTTACAATTGAACAGTGTTCCTTATCAGTTTCTGTTGATTCAGGCGTGTCTATTGAGTCAGTGCAGTCTTGCGTCGGAAAACTTCTGTAGACGAAGGATAAAGTGTAGCAGGACCAAGATTCCAAGAGCCAGGGGCCTTGGAGGTATTCCTCCCCAATGCTGGGCCCTCAGCCTCTCGAGTATCTGAAAGAACCTCGGATATTGGCGGTAACGGGGTCTCTTCTTCATGGAGTCGCCGATAGGCGCACGCCCTTCCACGATGAATACACTCCGAACAAGGCAGCTCCCCACTGCAAGCTTTTCTAAGACGCGCACAACTATCACAAGCCCGCTTGTGCTTCCCACCCCGATCAGGCTTGGGAATAGCCTGACCACTGCCTACGCGATTCTTGCAAGATTTCCAATGTCTGCGTAGTACATCCCTGTATAGGCATTTTGGTTAACGATGACGGTACGTACGTTGTTTCGGAAGCATCTACACACCCTCGGCTGAAAGCAGAGCCGCAAAAGGAACAGACGTGCTTCTTGGCTGTGTAATCTGTAACAAATCAGTACTTTGCCACCATGCGAGGTTCACGTACGACGTACGAGTCAGCGCATGACGCTTCATATGATCCAACCGTCGGAATGTTGACTGGCATTTGTCACATTTCCAGTTCTTGGCAGCTGGAGGGGTTGTATTATCTCGCCGTCGCTCCATGGAGGGTTGGCGTCGGTTTGATGAAGACCCGATCTGCCTAGGGGACCTCGGATGTTGTGTCAAGGTGCGCTAGTTTGAGACACGGTCGAAACGAGAACTCGGTGCAGATCGGCGTGAATCAAGGACTCTTGCGGAGATATCTCGCTTGTTGAAGTTAATTGACGGACTGGGCGAACTTTGGAGTAACGATAGGCTGGAACTCGGTAATTCCGCGGTGGCGATTGGACGTGCAAATGGCGCCAACTCAGCCGTCGCGATTCCCCCACTTCAACATTGCGCCGAATATATTCGTCACGGTATGGGATTAGGGGGCTTAATTCATGGTGGCCTAGAATGAGTAGTTAAATATATAAAGAAGTTGCAATCGTCACAGTCGCCTTCTTCGACGCAGACCTTAGACAAACTCATTCAGATCTATCACAATTGCCTCAAATATGCCCCTTCTCGAGTTAACCCCAGAGATGGATCATTCCGTGAAAACTAGCGATCACTATAACAGCTGGCCCACCGATAAAGGGGTAAGTGACATGTGGCGACACGCGAACTATACATTCTAATCCCTGCATCTTACTGTAGTACGATCCCGAATACGAACAACGCGAACCAGTCGAGCTTCCAGTAACAGGTCAAATTCCCGCCTACGCCGCTGGAGTCTTATACCGCACTGGTCCTGGAAAAAGCCAGATCCAGGCTGAGAACGGAGACATCCTGCGACTCTCTCACTGGTTCGATGGATTCAGTCAAACACATCGCTTCCAGATCAGAGCCCCTGATGAATCTAATTCATCAACTCGGATCTTCTACAACTCCCGCTTTTCAACAGATGATCTGATCGAACAATCGAGAAAAGCAGGTAATCTGGACAGAATTAGCTTTGGACAAAAGCGCGATCCGTGCAAGAGCGTCTTGGGCAAAGTCCAAAGTGAATTTGAACCTCAACCTAGTCCATCTAGTGTCAACATCGGTGTCACTCTTTCAATCAATTTCCCTGGGCTGGATACTAAGCCTGGTGATGAGTCGACCTCACGCTGGACCAACTCTGAGGGAATCCGAACTCTCTATGCAAAGACCGACTACAATGCTTTCAAGAAGCTTGACCCAGAAACCCTCGAGCCGATAGGTCTCGCCTCACAGAAAGATCTACACCCCGAGCTCTCAGGGCAGCTATCTGCAGCGCATGCTCGGTCCGATCCCGTCACTGGAGATATGTTCAACTTCAACCTCACTCTTGGACCAACGTGCACATATCGCGTGTTCAGAGTATCGGCGTCAACAGGAGAAACAACAATCCTAGCAACTTTTGACGCGATCCCCGCCTATCTCCACTCTCTGCTCATCACCGAAGACCACGTCGTCCTGTGTATTTGGAATGCGCATGTAAACCCACTGGCCTTCGATCGGTCTTTCATGGACGCAATCTTACCAACGGACCCCAGCCAGCCCGCAATATGGTATGTAATTGACCGCAAGCACGGAAACGGTCTGATCGCAACATACGAAAGCCCAGCCTTCTTCTGCTTCCACACTATCAATGCCTGGCTCGAACCTTCCAAGGAAGATCCAACCAAGATGGATATCGTCGCGGATCTTGTCAAAGCGGATAGCTCTGACGTGCTGCAATCCGTCTACTACGATAACCTGATCTCCTCACGAGATACAGCCAAGGCATTTCAGCAGAAGAGAGATGATTCTTTCCGTACATCGATTACTCGATTCCGACTGCCCGGGGTTCCATCCGCTCCAGAGACCGATATTAAGAATGTGTCTATTGAATGGTCGGTGTGCAAATCCTTGTCACCCGAGCTGCCGACTATGGATCCCAGGCGAGTCGTCCTGAAGCACAGATATGTCTACGCTGTGACCTTCCGCGGAGAGGCTACCCTGACGGATGGAATTATGAAGCTTGATTGTGATACTCAGCAGGTTCGACTCTGGGCTTGTCATGGTCAGTCTCCTGGTGAACCCATTTTTGTTGCCAACCCCGAGGGAACAAGCGAGGACGACGGAGTACTTCTCAGTGTTGTTCTTGATGGGAACAAAGGTAAGAGTTATCTGCTTTGTCTTGATGCGAGGGATTTGACTGAAATTGGTCGCGCGAATGTCGATGGAGCTGTTGGGTTTGGTTTCCATGGCCAGCATGTTCCGACGTTGGGTGGGATGCCTACTGGTGATTACTAGGGGCTGGGTATTCGAATAACTTATTCTTATCTGTTGTTAGTATTCTTATTGTTCTTGGGAATTGATCAAACCATTGGAGGAATCCATGCACTTTTTTTAGTTCAGAATGCCGAATCCTATGTGCAGAAATACAAGAGCATTGTCAACCCTTGAACGTGGAGAAGCGAAATTTCTAGGCTTCTCCGACCTGTATAATTTTGTGTTTTATTGAAAATTATGTTATATTTAGGGAACTAGCATTGCTCCTAACCTTGGAAGGTTCTATTCCGTTGCACTTTCGGTACCAAGATCGTGATGACATCAACATGCAAAACGCCGACTCTCTTGGCTGATTGAAAGCGACCACGACGTACTTATAATCGCCCCAGATCTCGTATTACAAATTATACAGCTTTATCATATTACTTAAATGAGGACATGGTCATAGGCCTAGAATTAGAATTGATACCGTCGCACCAGGATATACGGATTTACGGAGTTCAATATAAAGTTTTACATCCGAAGTAATGAACCAAGGTTCATCGCGGATCTCAGTGACAGCATATAAATATGCAACGTCACCGGTAAAAGGTTCAAATTCTTATAATTGTTCCTCTTCGGTATTGAGTTACTCAGAGTTCTACGATTGCTCCTGCCTAGGAGAACCATCCCCATGGAGACCATTAGAGACACCGCGTTCGGAAAGCTGGTGCGCCTTTTCACACATTTCCGATACATGCAGTACCCCGAAGAGCAGGATTTAACGGTATGGACTGAGTACCTCAAGACGGAGAACTTGCCAAAAGAAGGAGAACCTGCAACGCCGGTCAACAACGATGAGAACCCCGAGGATCTCGAGGCCTTTGGTCTCTATACTGTCATGTCACAGGCTTCCAGGCGGATGTCATGTGCTTCGACGCTGCGGGAGAGTGGTCGGCCGCTTGTGATTAGTTGGCGAGGATCCGATGATCCTGAGGTGAGTTTTGTATCTATTCCTAAGCAACCAAGCAGAACGAGGAGCTAACTTGCGAGTGCAGGACCCTCGAAATTGGAGCACGGGGAAGAAGTTCTTCGTTAGCTGTCAGATTTGGCTTCTTACTTTTGCTGTCTATATTGGCTCGGCTATTTATGCTCCTGGTATAGTGGGCGTCACGGAGCAGTTTGGTGTGAGCAGTGTAGCAGCGACGCTGGGCTTGACACTTTTTGTCTTCGGCTACGGTCTAGGTTCGTATCAATGTCTATTCAAGTCCTCAATTATGTTTTGACTGTTCTATCTATAGGACCGATGATATGGGCACCGCTGTCCGAAATCCCCATGATTGGCCGAAGCCCAACCTACGTATTGACGCTGCTCGTCTTTGTCTTTTTCAACTTTGGCGTGATATATGCCCATAACTTCGGAATGCTGCTGGCTTTCCGCTTCCTTACTGGTTTCCTTGGGTCACCTGTTCTAGCAACGGGAGCTGCATCTATGGGTGATATGTGGAGCCCCCAAAGTCGGGACTACATGATCGGTATCTGGGGAATGTTCGCCATCTCCGCACCAGTCTTGGGCCCTATGCTAGGTGGGTTCGCCGCTTCTGCAAAAGGATGGACTTGGACTATCTGGCAGCTAGTGTGGGTGTCAGGATTCACTTTGGTATTGCTGTTCTTCTGTCTACCCGAAACCTTTGCGCCGAATATCCTTGCCCGGCGAGCTCGTCGGGTTCGCCGTATCACGGGTAATTCCCAATATATGTCAGAGTCGGAGATAGAGATTAAGGAGGTCAAGCCCAGGGTATGTTAGCTAATACCCATCCAGACACAAAGCGCACAAGCTGATTGAAATCCAGGACGTCCTCTTCGAAGCTCTTATCCGGCCCTTCCAACTATGCTTCCTCGAACCAATTGTCCTTCTCACCAATCTCTACATCGCACTTATCTACGGAATCCTCTATATCTGGTTTGAAGCCTTCCCGATTGTCTTCCAGGAACTCCGCGGATTCAATCCGGGTGAAGGTGGTCTCGCGTTCATGGGAATTCTAGTATCCACCTGCTGCCTCGTCATCCCAGCCTACTTTTACTGGAAATACCGCTGGCAGGCAAAATATTTTGATGCAGACGGCAATATTGCACCAGAAATGCAAATGCCTCCGGCCATTGTGGGCGCCCTCGCCCTCCCAATTTCCCTCTTCTGGTTCGGCTGGACAGGCAACTTTGCCAGTATTCACTGGATCGTCCCTATCATCGCATCTATGCTTTTCGCTGTCGGTGGTTGTTTGATCTTCAACTGTATATTTACTTATCAGGCACATGCTTACCCTAAGTATGCTGCCTCCGTGCTTGCAGGTAATGATTTCCTGCGTTCATCATTTGGCGCTGGATTCCCGCTTTTCGCATCAGCCATGTTCCACAACCTGGGCGTTGGATGGGCTTGCACACTGCTTGGATGTTTGACTCTCCTATTTGTGCCTTTCCCATTTATCCTCATCTATCGAGGAAGGAGAATTCGGATGGCGAGTAAATACGCACGACACGATATTTAAAATCACGATGGTTCCATAAATTATGTTAATATACATTCTACTATCCTTTATTCACCAGGGATTCCAACCCCAGACACCTCCTTACAAATCTTCAACAATTCCTCCTGCTTGGCGACAACTCCAGCGGCAGGATCAGGCGTGGCTGCTCCCCTAGGGTTAAAGAAAGTCCCGCTCTTCAAGCTCGCCAAATTCCCCTTCCCAGCAGCCCATTCCGCCAAAGCCTTCGTCGGCTTATCAATACTACCCGGAGCCATCGAACCGCCCATCTTAGTCCTAACCCAACCAGGATCCATGCTAACAACCTGAATCCCCTCACCCCACCGCCTCGCAAACGCATTAGCAAGCATCATATCATGCATCTTGCTATCACCATACGAATGCGACTGCGTAACATTGCGCATGGAGTTATCACCCCCGTAATGGCTATCAGAGCTCATATAAAGTAGCCGCGATGTCGGCTTATCCATGAGACAGGTAAGGATATATGGCGCGAGCGTGTTGACAGCGAAGACAGCTGAGATCTTGTCGGCTGTTATTTCCCGACTGGATGTCGCGCCGAAGCCTATGCCTGCGTTGTGGATGATTGTGTCAAAGGGGCCCTTGCCTAGGTTGTTGGCCTCTTTGGCTAGGTTCTTTGTTTCGCTGATTGAGCGTAGGTCGCCTACTAAGACTGCTTCGGCGTTGGGTACGGCTTGTTTTGTTGACGCTGCGCGGTCCGCGTTGCGGGCGTGTAGCACTACTGAGTGGCCTTGGTCCGCCAGGATTTTGCCGGCTACTTGGCCGATTCCGTCGCTTGAGCCTGTAATGAAGATGCGTGCCATGTTGATGTAGTTGAAAGTGGTGGTTTGAGGTGGGTTTCTCGGAGGTATTTTGAGAGTTGAATTTGGAGGCCACAGACTTCCTAGGCGTATCTGATAAATATTTATTGATTGATGATATCATAAGGAGAAAGAATCCTGCGTGCACAATCAAATTGATAGGTCTGCCATATGACGTCAGAATCTATCGCCGAATGATATTGAAGCATTTTTCGGCTATCTTGTACAATTGAACAAAGAAAAGAAAGAAGAGGTATATACCATCTCAGAGGCCCTTGGAAATTTGGCCCTAAAAACATTGTCGACTTTCAATAGCCTCTTCGTAGATGCACATGTAACTAGCCAACTAGATAATTTGTTATGAATCTGTACTGTTTCGTACTAAAAATTCCCTTGAATATTCCCCTTAAGACATAGTTTTATCCTTGTTTTAGTGTCTGGACTCCGCTAACCACGCCCTACAGACTACAACTCCACCCTCTTCCCCATACATAACATCTCAATCCCCCATCCCAAATCTATAACAACGGAAATACCTCAATCCAATCCGACCAATCCCTCAAAACCAAGATGGCAGGCGAAAATAATCTCCAAACCCTCCTAGCAACAATGCGACCAAGCCTAGACCCAACAACCTACGTCTTCCTAACAACAAAACAACCCCTCCATTCGCTACCCCTATCAACCCTTGAACCCCAACTCCTCGTCCAAGAAGAAGAGGGCACGACAATCGTGACAACAGAAGCCCTAGCCAAATCCCACGGCTTCACCGAATCAACCTTCCCCTGCAAGAAGATCACGCTTACCATCCACTCCAGTCTGGAAGCAGTTGGCCTCATCGCTGCTATTAGCAATCGGCTTAAGGATCATGGCATCAGTGCTAATGTTGTGAGTGGGTATTTCCATGATCATATTTATGTTCCGGTTGCTAGGGCAGAGGACGCGATGGGGGTTTTGGGAGGGTTTGCTGGTCAGGCGAGGGGTTGAGTACGTTGAAGGTGTATGGAACTACAATAACTTGATGGAGCAACGTTACTTACAAGTTAGAAAAACGATGCAAGGCTCTTCTATGCAGCACCAGCCCAAGGATGAGTGATAATCAGTTCATTGCAAGCCCTCTAGGACTATCTACTCCAGATATATGATACACGTCAACAAAAACAGTACTCAATCGAAAACATATAAGAATAAACCCAGAATGAAAACCCGAGCCTCAGCGAACTTAACGTTGAACTCGAGTTACTATCTTTCTCTCCCAGAGACGCCGAAAAGAAAAAGTAAGAAGCCAAAAACATCATCCGCCCCCATACCCATGGAAACTCCGCTCTTAGGGTGCCTTTTTGCGCGCAAGTATTAGCATAAGTCGAAAGTGAGCAGCCATGGAAAATCAAAACGGAAACGAGAAAACACCGCCAGCCTAGCTGCTGCTCTTTAATGTTGTACATCGAGAGAAGATACAAGAGCGAGGGAACCAGAGAGGAACGGTGAGAACACGAGTAATCAGGGTATTAGTCATACAGATGGAAAGAAAATTGATTTCATGACAAAGGGAAGAAAGAAAATAAGAGGAAGGTGCGACGTTTGTTAATGTTTTTGTTGAAAAGCTCAGTAGTCGACCTCTTTTTCGATCACCATAATCAGTTCGGTCAATTCCTTGCGCAGGGCGCGGTTTCGGTCCCAGACTTCGACGATCTTGGGTCGTTGGCTGGTAAAGCATGCCTTCTTCCAGGGTAGCCCGCCGTATCTGGATGTAGTGCGGTTGGGGAGGCCGCGGGCGATGTTGCGCAATACCAATGCGGCCTTGTAGGCTACGCCGAAGGGTTCGCCCTTCTCGTTGATTGGTGTGTCCATGTAGAACCACTTGCGTACGATGCGCTCCTGCAGGATCGCGCGCTTAGAACTTGGGGGTTGGGCGTCTGCGGGACGGTCCTCGGGCAAATGGGAGGAAACGTGTCCGGCGACCATGGATGTGTTGGCGCTGGGGCCAGATGCTCGGAATCGTGCACAATGGTCCCATTGGCAGGTGTGGATGGCGGTCTCTGCGGTGTCAAGCTTGTATTGGCCTTCGGTTTCTGCTGGTTCGAGGTTCATGTGGTCACCGAAAACGTGGTTCCGTAGGTCTGTCGGGGATGTGAATGCGCGTTGACACATCTTCGAAGGCTTGGAGTTATCGGCCCATCTGCAGTAGACATAGGGGAAGGCCTCGAAGGTGTGAGCAATCTCCAGAGGACGAATGCCCTTGATAATGAACTTGGTGGCAGTGCCTGGGCCGTTGATGACCTGTGCTTGTGCGTTTGTGAAGGTGTTGCTGACATTCTTGATGAACTCGGCAGCGGGTAGGACACCACCTCCGGCAACACGGGGGTCTGCAAATCGGCTCTGGTATGCTTGCCAAAGAGCAATCTGTGTGATCTCGCATTCTGCATCTTCGATGAAGCAGCAACGCAGCCACTGTGAGCTGCGCTCCGGTTCCGACAATTCCATCAGCTTCTCCAAGAGCTCAGGAGGTACGCGAGGAATGTCAGTTGGTGGAGGTGCGACTTTTTCTTCTTGGAGAACGGTCTCCTTTCTGGTCGGTCGTGCCTCGTAGGTTAATAGTGCGACCATGCGGGGGACAAACACAATTGGGAAGTTTACAACATCCATCAATGTCTCGATATTGTCAGGGCTGAGAGTATATTGATACCACAAGTCCAGTGCGCCGCTCAGGATATCCTTATCGAGGTCGAGGAGAGTGTGGTAGTACAACTGTTGAAGAGTTGGTTTTGTCAAACTCTCCATGGACCGGTTGGCATCTGCATCATCCAGCTCAGTACCGAAATGAGTCAGAGCCCAGAGAGCTCGCACGACATGGGCGCGGTCGGGAGAGTCGATGCAGTTCACAAGAGAGATCCAGAGGGGGTCCTCTGGGTCAGTGCGCAAGAACTTTGTGACCTCTTCCGCGATGTCGAGGGCGTCGTTCTTGATTTCGTTAAGTCGGGGCTGGTTGGGTGCGTTGATCAGAATGACCAAAAAGTCTCGCAATAGACCCTTCGCGTAGCGTGATACATAGAATGCGTTCTCCTTCAGTAAAACCATGTTCCTCAGCACCAAGGTTGCCTCTTTGATGTTTCGAAGCTGATGGTTGAATTCGTCGGTCTCAAGGCTGTCAATCGGAAGGTTGACTGGGATCTTTTTGATCTTATCGAGGAGGTCCCGTGTGCCGTGTAGCGAGTTTAAAACATTGACACGGTCAATCGGCTGAAGAGGATCATACTGGAACTCCCATTTTACTCCTGTGCAGAGGTGTGTGATGTCGAGGGCTTTTTGCATGAGTGTCTCAGCAAGTAGCGGGAAGCCTTCAAACTTGAACTTATCCCATCGTTGATTTGAGATCTGTACCAGATGGTATAAGGCGAAGTCAACTTCGTCTGGAATACCTGACTGCAGACCATAGTGAGCGCGCTTGTAAATATGATCGGCTGTGGGGGAGACCGTTAGTCCATTGCGATATTCCTTGGGGTGAAGGGCGGGCTGACTTCTTGGGACCTCCAAAAACCTCAGGGGAAAGTAGGGGTCATAATAATCTAGTTGCCGGGGCGCCTTCGCTGGGTCACGGAGGTTGGCGAAAAGAACTGGTCGATTTCCTGGGGTTGGAACTTCTCGTGTCGACATGGGAAGCTGTCTGTGGTCTTTTCCTTCCCAGCTGTCGACGGCGAACTGCGAGTTTTGGGGATTGGCGGCTGGATTGAAGGTTACGGGATGTGGACTCGTTGAGGGTTGAGGTGATGTAAATCCATGTTGGATATGTGACCGACGAGCTGGGGTGGTGTCAGGGATAAAAGGTTGGTTGACCTTTGGGGCCTGGCGCAGGCCCTCTGTGAGTGGGGTCAGTACATTTGTTCCAATTCTCACATGTGGCCGGTATTCTTACGTCGTAAAGAGGTGCGAGGGGTAGACATGGTGGAGGCGGAGGCACGCGATAGCTTTGCGACGTTTGCAATTTCAAACCCAGTTACGTCGTTGAATCCTCAGGGCAAACGAGATGATGGTGTCACTTCGCACAGTATAGATTGTCCCAAAAGACAGCTCTGTGTTTGTTAAACTGGCAACTCCGAGTGTCACGGCTCGAGGTGTCCTGCCCTTGATACGTCTCGTAGCAAACGAGCTAAGCGATTTCGCCGTAATTGCAAGGGTGTCAAATTCGTAATGGAGTTCCGTGTTCGCAGGCTCGCACTAAGTCTATGACCCAGCAGAATCTTTGGTGGATGAGTGGGATATAGAGAATGGTGATTGAAGTTGGGTCGCAGGATTCTCTCGCGCGTTCGAGTGTCAAGGCGATCGAGGATGCGACAGTGAAAATAGCGAACGGCTCAGCTGCAATGGTGGATCTGAACGTAACGTGAGGTTGCGCAGGTATGACAGGTGTCAGGGAAAGGAGTAAAACATGAAATAATAATTAATGCCTTGCGGCCCTGGAGGGCTGTAGCTGGGCTTGAGATCAACGGCATTGATCAGCCAAAAGTCCGCGCTCTCCAGCGCGTTGCCGGATTATCGGTTGTTCCTGCGTGGCGCCTGATATATCAGGCATCAACATTCTTCCTCATTGGGATTAGCGTCACGGCATAGTATATCAGTTCAAGGTGGTAGTCATTGATGAGATCGCGTTGAGGGTCAGTTTTGGAATTGTCTTCGGTTGAAAGAGACGTCCTCCGTATCTTAGCTTATCTACCATTTTTTACTGTTGATCGTATGCATCCATTTGACGGCGTTTCTTAGGGATTAGGCCTTGGGCAAATATTTACAACGCTATGTTAGCTGGTATGTTGACTTAGGAACCAGTACCTTAAAAGAGAAGAGATGATATCGATTAGGTTAATTAAAGGGGTATGAAATATAAATTTTGGGATACTTGGTAAGAGTGTGCTGAGGTGATCTGCCTCTCAACCATGCCGCTGCAGCACCCTCCATCCTCAATTCACTGGACGCAGTCGTTCATGGTCTGCCTCATTGCCTCCTAATCACAAATCCTATTGTTCTGTGTCTTACATGATGCAACACCTGCAACCACTGCAACCACTGCAACCACACATCCCTCAAGTCCTCCGCCTGACAATTGTCAAGTTCTCCCATACCACCACTGCCATCGACCACATTGGTCCCCTGGCATGGAATCATGTCACTGGCAATGGAGACCTGGTTTGCATCTTTGAGAAGCTTCAGGGCACTCCTTCTGCGCCAGCAACATTAATCCAGCGCGTGGTTCGAGGCGATGTCATCCTGGTACCTTGTGCCCCCCTGCAGATTGACTACCAAAGTGCTAACCATGGTTGCCACCTCGACTAGGAGAATGTCAATCTCACAGATCTTGTTCAAATGACTGCATCGAGGTCTCACTCGTTCTCAAGTCGCACAATGCCCAAGTTTCCCTTTGCGGCTGTTGTCAAGCTACCTTGTCTTGCAATCAAATATCCTGAAGGTGGAACCCATGTGTGTGTTCTCTGTGAAAGAATCATCTCTGGGGAGTACTTTCTAACAGGATTTTGTTGTCGATCCCCTAGATCCGTCGATTTCAGATCAAGTTCACAACAGAAAGCGACTACACCACCGCTCTAGCCCTCTTGAGCGAAATCGGATGTCCGTTGACCGAAGGCAGTACACCTGCTCCACGACCAACACCCTCAGTATCATCATGGGCATCGGGCCATCTTTCCCATGCACCGAGGGTTGTGAACCCATCAACGTCAGTCGGCAGCATTGGCGCCCCATTCAATCATATCGGAGCATATGGATCTCAAAGAACCAGTAACCACCTTGTCTACTCCCGAGAAGTGATTCATTCTAATACTTTGTTTATTGCAGCACCCCTTCGAGCATCATCCCCGGCGAGCACTGTATCCTACGCTCCCTGCAGATTCGGTCCTTCTCCGCCCACATTCAACCGTCTAACCCAAAACATCGAACCAGCTGCCATGGCTCCATTGCAGACAATTCACGTCCCCCATGCACTATACCAAGTACCAGAACTATCCAGCTCTCAGCTATCCGCAGTCTCAGCCGTCCACAACATCGACCAGCTGAACCAGATGCTCCCTCCGAAGCGAGATTTACCATTCCAAAAGCCACCGACAAAGAAGCCCCGTTCTGCCAGCTTGACTCGAACTACAGAAATCAGACCTCAGCCAGGTCGATTCTCAAGCTCGCAGCCTACAGAGTCAGCCAGGTCCCAAGAGCGAGTTCGCCATCCACTCCATGCAGTCATGCAATCCGAGCCATCAGATCTGGATACCAGCTTGCTAGAGTGCCAGCCTCGTCCTTCCTCGGAGCAAAACTCATACCCCGAAGCGAGTCAGACATCGCTCGCCTACGGGGACCTCCTCACAACCCAAGAGGGTCCAAGTATCAACAGGACAATCGAGCACCTAGCCCAGAAACCCAGTATCCAGAAAACGCCCCAGTCACGCACTCAAACAGATGCAACCAAGGAAATCAACAACACGGACGGTACACAAGACCCACTCCTTCCTCTACCTCCACCTCCAAATCCAAACCCAGCAACCCCAGCACCAGCACCGCACACAGCCGCCGTCATGCCAGAAGACTATCTCGCACGATACATAACCGCACCCACACCGGAACGAGTTGCCTTTCTCGAGAACTGGATGTGTGAGCTGATCGAAGATGACAGGTTCATGACTCTGTGTCAGGACGTGGAGGGGACATGGAGGCGGTTTGCGTTTGGGAAGAAGTAATGAACGGATGCTATTCGAATTTGAGATTTGAGAGTTTATTATGCCATATTATATGGACGGAGTTATATCTTAACAATTCGGATATCTTTCATGATATATTCGAGCTAGTGCAAGATATCCGGAGTTACGGGTATGGGATAGGATAAGAGTATCATATTGAAAAATACATATAGATGACTTGACATAAACAGAACACTGTTTCACTAAAGCTAAATGAATATGAAGTTAAGATATCCGACTCCCCGTTCTGTTTGTCCCTGAATAAATCGGGATAAGCATGATACTCAATAAAATACAAGATGGGAAGAAAGCCCTATGAGAGTCAAGATCATGACCTCCCAGAGAAGTAAAGTAAAGCAACGAAAGGAAAAAAGAAGATAGAACATAATTAAAACCACACATCAGGGGAAGTTTTAGCCACAGTTAATACACATATCAAAACTCAAAGAAAAAGAAGTTTTAAGTCTGGAAAGGCTATGTGATTTACCAGACACAAAGCCGACACATCGCCCATCAAAGCCCACTTTAACGAGTCCGACGATAGATCAACCCAGAAAAGACATTAAGATATCCCTCCTTAGTCAACATAGTAAAATCAACAACAACCCTCCCCGAACCAGCCTGCGACTGAGCAAGCTGCGGGTTAAGATTGGGCGAAGGCTCATGCTGCTCATGAAGACCAGGCGGAGGCGTAGAGGGACCATTTTGACCGACCGAACCCTCAGCCCCAACAGCCAAATCAGCGAGATGCTGAAGCGAGCGCTGCTCATTCGGGCCCATGGGCGGGTGGGCCTTATTACCACCACCACCACCACCCAAACCGAGATCCGCTTCCTGAAGCTGACTTTCCTGCGATTTGATGCGGCGCCATTCGAGGAAGATGCGGATCTTGGAATCCCACTCTGGGGTTGCGAAGATATTAGCGAATTCAGTTGAATCGGAGGCGCGCTTGGCACGGCGTTCCAGGATTTCTTCCAGTTTGTCGAGCGAGGCCCAGCATTCCGGTGCGTGTTCTGGGAGGACGGTTGCTTCGAGGAGGGTCATAGAAGCTAGGGCTAGACTGTGCAGGTCGAAGGGGGAGGGGAGTCTGGATTGCATTGTTGCCTTGTGCATTTCGTTGATTACTTCCTGGGCGCAGAAGATGATTTCGTAGGGACTGTAGACGTAGACGTGGCGTTTGATTAGGAGCCGGACTGTCCAGTAGAGTTGGGTTTGGAGGCTTTCGTAGAGGGGGCGCGTTGTGGCGTTTTCTGGTAGTTCGTGGACTTGGAATACGTCTTCCATTTCGGCTAGGCGCTCCAGGGAGGAGACTAGGTTGGCGCCGACGATGCGGCCGAGGCCGGTGTTGGTTTGGCAGACGTTGTGGTCGACGTTGGCTAGGGTTACCATTTCCGAGAGGAACGTCGAGTAAGCTGCCATAAGTTAGTTGATAGATTGTTGAGGGGAGGTAAATGAGCAACATACAGGCGATTCCAGTTGTGATTTGACCGACTACCCTCTCATCTTCGCGGCCGCCAATCTCGTGACCACCCAGAACAGTAGCATCCGCAACACTGATAGCGTACCACCGTGCCAAAATGACCAGGGAAACCCAGTTGCGTCTGGTGAGATTGGCATCCGAGTCGACATCAGGATCCGAAGAACGCTTGTTCTTCAGCTGACCTTGATTCTTCGCCAGGTCGTATCCAAGCTTGTTAGCTGCCTGAACAAGACTACCCTTGGGCACACCATCTTTCAGGACAAAGTTGTCTGGTCCGCGAGTGTCACAGTCAATGATCATCAGCAGCAGGGATTGGAGCCAGATGAGATTGACAGCAGTCGACTGGACCATCAATGGCTGGCGGGTGTGGAAGAGAAGGAGATCCTGGGCATTGTCGAAGCCATTGATTTTCTCGAAATTACCGGCCACGCGAGTCAAGTCGGTGCGAGTTGCGCTATATAGGGCATAACAGAAGATCTCCTGCGCTTCGCGGTGGCATTGGTGCAGGAGCTCCAAGGTCCGGTCCTTGGTGTGGGGGAGGATCGGCAGGAGAGTATGAATCTTTTGGTAGTATCTAATAACTCTCGTTAGATGGTTTTCGGGGATGAGGTTTCACATCACATACGCATCAAGAGCACCTTCGTCGAGAGTCACCGGGCTCATGTCATCATCGCCTTCGTGTTTAGGCAAGTCGGTTATCTCAAGCCCGCTTGGGAGATCGTTATCATGGCCCGTTGGGTTCCAGAACAAATTGCCGGGCTTCGGTGCGCTACCACTGGCAACCGTTGGGTTGTATGGGTCTGCCGTTGTTTCGGAGGTATCGAAGGCATTTTGCGAAACACGGGCATTGAAAGACGGCTGCGCGAACGAGGAACTGGGCAGACCTTCGAAAACAGAGTATGTTCTCTTGCGATTGCCCGAGGTCGATTCGACGGGGGATGCGAAATCCTGGTATCCTCTTGGTAGCGACACTTCGTTCATGGACTGGTAAGGTACGTCGGGTTGGACGATTCCGGGTTGCATCTGGTTCTCCAGCGTATGGAGACGTTCGGCGAGTTCCTTGATATATCTGTTTCCCTGTCAGCATGGACAATTCATGGGGTGACACACTTGTTATTCCTACCCTTTACTGGGGCCGCGCTTCATCGGGACGCGACTGAACTGACACACAACACCTAGACGCCGACAGTTGGAGCATGTTTCGAGACCTGTTTCTGAGCTCGCATCGCATCTAACCTGGAAATATAACGCGTCTTAGCTTCTGGCTCATGGTCGCATTAGGAAGAAAATCGTGGTACCTTTTTGCGCCGACACTCGTCACACGCTCGAGAGATCTTGGATCGCTTCCGCGCACTCTGTTCACCATAGCTCAAGTCGTGGTTCGGGTCCACGCCGACTTGTTGACTCGGAGGGAATTGGAGCATGTGCTGGTGCTGGTGTTGATCCTCCGATGAGGTACGGCCCATGTCGCCAGCATTGGAGGAACCCAAGACCATGGACTGGCCATGATGGACGCCATTGCTCGACTCACCGAGGCCAGGACCGGACGCTTCGCGCGACAGTTCGGCGGACAACAATTCGTCGGTGGTAAGTTGGCGATTACCATAGTACGGCATGGCGCCCTGGGCCATCTGCGCACCGTTGGGAGATGGATACGAGGGCGCCGGAGGCATGTCAGACTGCTCGCGAGAGTTCATCACGCGAGACCTGACCGAAAGACTCAGAGAATGATATGGGTTGTGGGCAAAGCGGGCTTCCGGAAGATGGGGGAAGAAAGTGCAGGACGCGAAGTGCCAGAAGTGAAGTTTTACAGCCTAAAAGTTCGCGGGGGAATTTCCAAGGGGGCTAGCGCCGAGGGCGCCGCATTAAGCAACAACATTTGGACGTAGAATTCATATTGATTTATCATTTTGAAGCTATATAAGATGTTGCCTTTACTTTTTGGATCGCACGGAGGACGGCCTTTCGTTTCTGCGTGTTGAACGGATTAACACTATTTCCTCCTGTGTTGCCTGAGAAATGAGGCAATAATTTCTGACAAATTTTCGCGGGACGAGAAATCAGTTGGGAGTCGCCGGTTCGATCCTGGCTCGCAGTTCTTTTTAATTTCATTGTCTAGGTCCTCGAGTATAGATTAGCAGATCATCCCTACGAGACTCAATATGTTGTTCATGGCTCTGCCAAATAAACTGTGTAGTTCTCTCACGTTCCGTGCCTAGCACTAGTTACTATATATCGTCGGGCTCAAATCGTGCTGGTTTTTCCAAGGAGAATGACTCTCCACGCGTGAGGCGTTTCAGGTGTCCCAAGGTTACCAAGGGCAACGATTCTGCGGCTCCATGTTACATGTATACATGTATCCCCGGACTCTGTGGAGAGACATACATCTATATTATTCCGACTGAATCACTTTGACACATAGGTATTGTTCGGAGAGGCAACCGGAAGATAAGCAATCTACCGGAAACATCTCGGGTGATTTCCGAATGATTCAATCGCTGTCCCGGATATATTATCCATTCTCTTATTCGATCTTATCATCTGTGGGGTCGAAATTGAACGATGCCAGCGAACTTGGTCAACTACAAAACAGGCAGGACACTCCAGCAGACTCTCGGCGTTCTACTAGCCAGTTAGGGCCCCTGATTTCATGTAAGTTTAGTCGACTTAGCGCTAGGCTTTCTATATTTCTCCGCTCTACGCGCGCGAAACTTTACATGTACTATTGCATAATTTGATCTAACCTCCAAGGATAAATATAGATGATCAAAACGCCAGGATTTAGTCCTTGTATATATTGAAATCTCTTCCTTGTATACTCCGTACTGATACGATACAAGGCAAATACATGTACAGTAATAATAGACGAACCGTGGCCCTTGGCTAATTGGCGGGAATCGGGGTGCAGATCAGGGCCCGCCGGCCCCAAAAGGCTCTGCAGGCCGCCCGAAGCAGGAACACTGACGCCATCGGGCTATGACATGCATCCACGGTGTAACTGTAGAATTCTGTCACCGGAACAGTCCTATTTTTGAGATGTATACCCATCCGGTATATAGACCGAATTCAGTCACTTGGGAGATTATGCCAGAATTGCGCCCTACAGGGATTATGGAAAGTTCTTTGGGTACCTGGATCGAGGGCGCTAGACAGGGTTTTTGAAACTTACATGTAATGGTAACTTGTGGCGATCACGCATTCATAGTCTTACGTACAATTTAGGTGTCAAGGCCGGGATGTGCGGCCCCAGATTTTGCTAGCGAGATCGGTGGGGATGGGTTCGCCAACTCTACTCAACAATTCTAGGGACAATATTAAGTGACTTAGAGGGTGCAAGTACATATCTCCATGGTCAATGTAGCTGACTGGATATTGCGTTGGGGTTAGGGCTGCCGGTTCGGGCATAAGAGTCGAAAGTTTATTATAAAAATAAAAGTGAAAGCGAAAGTAGAGATTAACTTACTTCGTAACTTAACCCTTTACCCTAACCTAATGGACAAAACACCGTGGACTGTGGAAACCTGGAGTAAATTACCGTACAGGTCAGGTACCGCTACGGTCTGCCACAGCCACCTCAGCCGCTACGAAAATCCTCCTCCATTATTAACGGCCCCTTCCCATCTTCTCTTTCTCTCCTCCATAGGGTGTTCAACGACTCCTTATATTGAACGCTTTCTACTTTGGCCGCCACTACCGGTACTTGGTGTCCTGTCTAACGGCCGGCGCCAAACGGTGCGTAGGCTTGGTCCCCCTCTCTACTCTTTACTCTCCGACTCTCCCCTCTCTCCAATCCCGCCTGATACCCTTTGAATTTCACTTCTTTTTGGCAGTTCGCTGTTTGTTGGCGTTCTGTGAACCTCGCATTGGGACCTTTCCATATACCCTTTCTGTTCAGCTCTAGAAGCCATCGCCTTGACGGCTTGATTTCCCCCCGGTCTACTCCGACCGGCCTGTTTTCTTGATACCCTATTTCTCTCGGTCATCGCATGTGTACTTCACAGTAACACCCGCAGCGATGCTCATCGAAGGTGAGAAGTGGGCTTGTGAAGCTTGCGTCCGGGGTCACCGCGTCAGCAGCTGTCACCATAGTGGTACGTTGATCATGCGATCCTCCATATGATCACTTCTAACCTCCATTAGACCGCCCTTTGACCCACATCAATAAAAAAGGCCGCCCAGTCTCTCAATGTACTCACTGCCGCGGCCTACGCAAGTCTCGGACAACTCACATCAAATGTGAATGCGGCGACAAGAAGAAGAAGAGCGACTCCGACTCCCATGATACCCATGGCCGCTGTGGCTGTTCCCATGGCCAGCGATGCACCTGTGCGCTCAAAAAGGAACATCTCGATACCGTGCCTGAGGCCGGTTTCCCCTTCTCTCCACCGCTTCCAGTTGAAACCGCACGGAAACCTCCTCTGACCTCGACCAAGTCCGAGTCGACCCTGACGATATTCCGCGACGGCCACCATAAACCCGCCCATAAACATAATGACATGGCCCACAAATGTGGATTGCCTTATACGATTCCACGATCACATACTATCCATCACCCAACCGATTTACCCCGTCGGTCTGTGGATCATTTGCCGTTAGGCCAGTCGGCCTTTATAAAGGAGCCTCTTGCCCTGTCTGAACTCCCGCAATCGCAACAAACATCGCAAAAAGGCTCTCCCAACAGCGCGCCAGCCTCGGGAGATGACGACGTGCAACCCGTTTCTCTCGACCAGTTATTCGACAAGTTCGCCACCCCTGCGCTCCCGCCATTAGATCGAGCCAAGGATGGAACGTCAAACCCGACCTCTGCTCCTTCTGCGATGGACAAATATCCTCTGGATCAGATTATCACCAGTGTTCCTCCCCTCGACGTCTCCACCTTCTCCTCCTTCCCGACTACGAGCACCAATTCTCCGGTTACATGCATGGCCTTCCAAGAACCGTACCGAGAATGCTACTTCACCTCTCCAGATTCCGATATGCCTCTAGGGTCTGCCGGTATGGGCGCTCCCTCTGTCGACTGGTCGAGCTTCCCTCTGTACTCCGATGTCCCTGCCTCAACCAGCACACAAGCCCCGTCATACGCTAGCTTCGATTACACATACCCATCTGGTCTCCCACCACCGTCCTCATCAGGGGAGATCTCCGAGGCCGACGAGTTTGGACCGCTTCCAGGGTTAGGTCATACCGGCAATGATATACATGATCTGCACAGCGTCAGCGAAGCCTCAGACATGGACCATATGCGCCTCAGCTCTGCATCCTCATTGGTCGGTCTACCCCAGGCGCGCCTTCTCTCATCCAATGACCTGGACTCGATCAACATCGACGACTTCCTCAAGTCAGCCAATGAGTCCACCGCAGCGCTCGAGCACCAGCTGCAAGCCAACATGGACACAAAACCGGTACCCTCGCAGGACCTCTACGCCATGTCGCAGGCCCCGGAATTTAAGCCCATGACCACAGCCCCGATGACGATGCCCTCGCCGCCAGACTCCGTCCCTATTTGGCCCAACGGTCTCTTCGACGCCGACTCCACCCCGCCCATGGATGACAACTTCTTCCAACAGTCCTGGGCGCAGTAAAAAGAGACCGGGTGGCACAAACTCCCTCTTCTTACCTTACCTTACTTTCTTCTCTTCCCTTCCTATGTCCCGGGGCTTGCTGTTCGCACTCACCACCTCCTCCACACCGTCTTCATGACCCTGATGAGAGATGATGATAAATGCCTTTGTCTTGTTCCATTAGCCAGTCTAGATTCCTTCCTTGATAGCCATTCAATCTAGAGGGGTTTGCGATTTGGACACTTGTGTGTGCCTGTACACTCCTTGGCTTTGGCCTTTTCTTGCTGTGCATACCTTTGGTGTGTTTTGCTGTTGTATAGACCTTTTCGTTTGTTTTACTCCTGTACAATGACTCGGTACTTTCATTACAGTCGCCTCCGGGCAATGATACCCAGATGCAATGCAGTGCGGTCCATATTTCGGCTTACATGTAGGGGATGTAAATCTCATGTACCCCATAGACCTTGACAAAACCCAGCTAATAAATAAGCATTAGCATATCAGCATGAACATGGACACGGACATACCAAGGAATCAATACTAAATAGACTATACATTTATTCCCCCTCTAAAAATCTACCAATGAGAAATCATAAATCATAATCGATCCAGTAAACCATTCCAAAAAAGGGATCGGATCTAGCGGTGAGACCGGAATACTGGTACGCCTCACACCATGCGACATTCAGCTCTTCGGCAGACCGACTCGCTCGCAGCTGGAACTTGAATCTAGTATTTCGTCACCCCAGCTTCACTGTGTGTCTAATTACGTCCTGTTTCAAGACTTAAAAGGGTTGTAAAGCTCGATTAATAGTTTTCATATTTATGAAATGAATATCTCAAATGGGCATACTGTACTATCCCACCCGTACGCCCATCCCATCCCACAACTAACACTAACACTAACACTAATAAACTATATCCACAGTCCAATCACCAAAGGATAGAGACAAGAATAGTAGAAATTGCACCGAGCCATAAACTACCGTATGTCCTGGTGTAAAGTAAGCATACGTAACTAAACAATAGTTTACATGCAATGCACAGTCCATCAATGTAACATATCCACTCACGCACATGTACAATACGAAAGTATAAGTATATATAAACAAGGACATCCCTGCGAGGGAGAGCACGCAGGATAGCTAAGCATTAGCCAAGAACATGCATGTCGAGGCTTGTATTGTGAGACGGGTGTGTGGATATTTGTATCAGTCGGTGTGACTGGGCTATTGTGTGCTGTATATGTATGCTGTGCGATTGAGTTGTGCTATGTATGTACATGTACGATCTGGCGGTGGATGCTGATGGGGGTGTAGTAGGACCGGGCTGAGCTGAGTTTGGAGAGTCCTTGCATATCCCGTACCTAGGGAGTGGTTGGATGGGAATGTTTCTCGGTTCTTTCGTGCCGGTTTGTGTTTTCGTTTCTGGTTCCTCGTTTCTAGTTGCTCACCGCTTCTTTTTATATACATCTCGTGTTACCGGTGGAGATAGAGAAGAGATGTTGTCGGGGTAGATTCTATCATGCATGTCATTGTATATTGGGACCTTGGGATCTATGGTTAACTTATGGCTACTTGTACTATCCATGTAGACTGGGGGACAGGTGGCTGGTTGCCCTGTCCCTGGATGTATGCGATTCTTCGGGCTTGGCCGGTTCTGTCTTGCGTTGTGGTTCGCATTTTGGAGGTTGGACTGTTGGGGATGTGTACGGATACATGGGTTTGATGTTAATATGGAGAAGAGTTTGAGTGTAATGGGGTCGGGGGTCTGGGAGTATTTCCCCAGACTAAGTGCATAGTGGGTAGGTGTGATGCATCCACACGGGTAGCATCATATACTATGTTTTCTCTAGGATATTCATTTCACCTATACGTTGTCAAACCAAGACAGGAGAATCAAGCTATATATTTGGGCGCGAAGGAGGAAAATGCATTTGTGAATGGTCAACCAGTATGCAATCTTATACAGACACAACGAACATGCAGGTAAGCCTCGCGGCAAATACATATAAACCGGAAAACCATGCAAAGGTCCAAATGCGCACGGAAAAGAAGCATTTTGATAATAAATTGGCAAGTCCAATAGAGTAAGTAGTCTATAAGGTATCCCGAACGAACCAAATCCAGATCCAGATCCAAAACATAGCATCGTAGAGCACCAGACTCATATCGTATAAATGGATGCGGGCAGATCACGACCCATGCATAGAATATACAGCGATAGGAGGTGCTTCATGCATATATGTCACTTTTGTATTGTACGTTCAGCGGTACTTGTTCATGAACTCGGAGTGGAACTGAACAATGCGCTCGACCCAGTCGGTGCCGGGGGCAAGGAAGGTCGTGCGGAAGTGAAGGGTGTTCTCCTTCTGACCGAATCCAGAGCCAGGGACGACGCAGACACCTGTGGCGTCGAGGAGGGCCAGGCAGTAAAATTCGTCTGCGGCGCGGTTCTCGGCCTTGGCGGCTTCGATGGCCTTGGCGGGGAGGTTGATATTGGGGAAGAGGTACATGGCACCCTAGGAAGAGTTAGCGGATGTGTTATACTAGAGATGGGAAATAGGGCGTATGTAAGCATACCTGGGGCTCCTGGACCTCAACACCTTCCATGCGCTGGAAGGCGTTGTACAAGGAGAGAGCGCGCTTGTGCAGACCCTCCGCGATACCAGAGTACTCCTTCTGGTAGAGCTCGTAGCTGGGCTCGCCCTGGACGGGAGGGTTGACCATGCACTCGAGCAGGCACTGTGCGACGACCGGCGGGCACAGGCCAATGCTGACGAGCTTGTAGATCTGCTCCTGGACCAGAGGGTCGAAGCCGACGAGCTCGAAGTAACCACCACGGTGGCCACACTCGCCGACCATACCCTTGGAGATACTGTGCAGCGAGACCAGCTCGACGTCGTCGTATTTGCCGGGCTCCTCCTTCTGCAGCTGGCGCAGGCGCTTCTTGAAGGAGACGAATTCACCCTTGAAGACGTTGGTCTGGTAGACCTCGTCGGCGATCACGACCAGGCTCTCCTCGGCGGCGACGTCAAGGACTTTCTTGATGTCGTCCGCGCTCAGGGAGGCTCCGGTTGGGTTGCCGGGATTGATGACCACGACAGCGCGCACGTTAATTGCGGCGGCCTTGGCCTCCTCGATGGACTTGAGGATCGCGGTGACGTCGGTGCCCCAGGCCTTCTCCTCCTCGAGGAGATAAGGCACGCAGCGCGCGTTCAGCAGGGAGAGGGTTGCGGTGTAGAGAGGGTATTGAGGGATAGGGACCAAGACACCGGCACTTTCATTGTTGCAGATGACGCTCAGGAGAGTGCTGACACCGGAAGAGGCACCGGCAGTCAGGAACAGGTCCTGGGGGTTGGCAGGGAAGCCGTCACGGTTCTCAATGAACTTGGCAACGCTGTTCCGGATACCGGGAGCACCCTGACTGTGACTGTAAGCACCGACGCTCTGCACATTGGCGAGCAGGGTCTGGGCGCGCTCAATAACATCCTGCTTGTATCCGAACGAGGTCTTGAGGACCTCGGGGTTCTCCAACAACAATGGGTTCTCGACGAGACTTAGCACCTGGCGGAAGAAAGTGATAGGCTTCTGGTCGAGTTGCTGAGGGTTACCGATGTTGGCGAAAATCACACTTTCGAAGGGCAGCGACTTGTCACCGTCGTTCAGGCGCTGGCGGTATTCCTCAGCCTTGACAGCGAGCTCACCCCGCACGGCGTACTTGGCTTCCCGGACGGAGGGATTGATGTTGTCGACACTCAAACACTTGGAGGTCTGGAAGGCCGACAGGGTGCGCTTGGCGGTATAGGAGACGGTAGTCTGAGTCATGGTGGGCTCTTAATTGACCCAAGGCTGTTAGTGAAGTTCAAAATAGCGCGATTGTTGTTCCCGATGTTGAGTTGGCGAGAACAGTGGCATGAGACCACGAGAACGAGAAGGGCGAACAAAAGTAATCAGGCAATATAATGACGTGGAGAGCAACATTGCGGAGATCACACTATATAAAGCCGAGATCATTCCACGTACCTGACCAAGCGGAGAGGCACCCCGCATGGGCTGCCGGGCGATGTAGGAGACCATTCGGCCGGGTCAGCGCCCGAAGCGGAGCTGCCCGCGCACAGGATGCAATCTTAATTGACCAGGACATGTTCGAATCAATTACACGATATTCTGACAACCCCTGTGTTGACGGGAAGAAGAAAAAAAATCCAGGGCCATGGCCATTGGGCGGTGAGTGAGTTGACTCAGCGCTTTTCCCCACAGCCCGGACGATAAGAGATATCAGGGCTTCACCGAGTCTCTACTGGGCTTACAGCGGTTACAGCGCCTCTACAGATTTGAACGGGAACCCGGTGAATGTTAGAACCTAAGATGTATAATGGTAACATGCGTGAAAAACGCCTCGGATCAGCCTCCGACGATCATTTTCCCTCGGAAAGTCTGGCGATTGCCCGGCCCATTTTCCGGCGCCGCCCGATGCGGGGACCGAACGATTTATTTTAGTCAAGTGATATCATGGGGAAATGGTTTGATTCTAAGGACGCAGATTCTCCATTCAGGTACGTAATCATAGGGTAGTCACGGCTCATGCTTCCAATGTATCAATTCAGCTTCGCTCACTTCCACGCAGACGCACGGCTTGGCCGTACTTCTGAATCTTAGTGATGAGGGAGTCACCGTGCTTCACCACATCAGCATACTGCTTGTTCTTGTCGTCTGGTCGATTCGTCTCGATGATTCCGTTGACACGGTCGATGGTGCAGGCAATGCGGTTGTTGGAAATGAATCGGGCAAGGTCCCTAAAATATTGTTAGCAGATGCGGTGGTTCGAGGTGAGAAATACATACCGGTCCAGGTAGTCTACTGTCACACCGAAGTCGCTGGCCATGCCGCTCAGTCCCACCACTCGGTAGCTCTGCAGGAGCTGCTGGTAGGCGCGGAGACGCATCTCACGAACGAACCAGGCCCGGTGCTCGTGCAAGTACCTGTCTTGGGTCAAGAATTGGTCCTCAACGGCTGCCAGTGCCACGAAGAACGAGCGGTAGTTGCCATTGTAAAGACTGTTAACCAGGTTTGCCAGTGGCGAGAAATCAACGGGGACCTCAGTGTCTACTGGGGCACTAGAACCAGTTGCAAATGAGGTCAAGTTGACGGCGGTAGTTGCACCGGCGGGTGTAGATCGCGACACTGTGGCATCCTTCATCTCTTCCTCCCGAGCACCGGGACCTGAGGAAATCTCTCCGCTCAGTGCAGCCAGCTGCTCCTCCCCAGCGCCAAGAATGGCTTTAATCTCGGGTGCGTCCACCACCTTCGCCTTGAAATCCACCCGCTTGAGGGACAATGATCCTGCAAGCACGGAATAGATCACCAACGAAGAGTAGCTGCACAGTTCGTAGCTTGTGAAGGTAGACAGACTGTCGAGAAGGAGAGGCGCGGCAAGGCTGTAAGAGCGGATGGTGAGCAAGTGCAATCCCTTGTATGCCTTGAGACGGTTTCTGCGGTCCCAGTCTCCACCGCTCTCGACCAGGGTCTCTGCCCGTTCGATAGTCTTGTTCACAAACAGAAGGTCCCCGAAGAAGAGTCCGATGCGGAGCATAGCAAGCACCAAGTCGATCTTGGTACCAAGGAAACCTGTCTTTTCGAGGAGGGCCTCGTGCGACTCGATAGCTTTATCCTATTAAGAAACCAGCGTCAGTAAACTTCAATATGAGCAAAACAATAATGAATAATCTCACCTTATCTCCTACACGAGCCCAGAACTCAGCTCGCTTCCCGCGCGCTGCCTGTACTTCAGTCTCACCAGCAGCTTCCTCTGCGTCATCTTCCTCCTTCTGGAAGCTCTCCAATTCTTTCTTGTTATCCTCCAATAAAGACTGGTAAAGCTTCTCATCCCAGGGGAAATCAAACTTTTGCGGTGTTTTGCGAGAGGCAAGCATGTTGGAGGTAAGGAGCGGCTTCGTTGAGGTACCTGCATTTTGCGGGTGCTGTGTTACGCCTTCGCCGGAGTTGTTCAGGATGCCCTCGGTGGGGTGAGCCAGATGCCGATAAAGCGGCCCCATCTTTTGCTCGGTGATGACATCTTGAAGCTTCTTCAATGATGTTTGCTGGATGGCTGGCGCGCAGGCCGGGTTGGAGAGGTTGAAGACATCTTGGGCGAGGGAGAGGTTGGGGAATTTGATGTATTGCGGATCAGACCCCATGATGATGACGGGGACTGGAGATACTAGGAAAAGGATCACAAGCAATAAAGAGATTCAAGAGGATAGAGGGAGGAGAGAGGTGATGTTGATGAGCAAGCCAGGTGCATCACCGTAGCCCGAGCTCAGCTGGCGAAATGTTGTTCCGGCCCGGGTCTTCTTCGCGGTTCTCCATATAAACCAGCGTCTACAGCTTTGGTGTTATCTCCCTTCCTTTTCAATGAAACATGTCTCTCTTTGCGCTTGCAATGGTGAATCCGCATTTTTTTCAATCCTGATTTTCCACGTGCTCCCATTCCCTAGCGGAATTGAAGGTTAGTTGCTGAGCAAGCGATATCCTTATTGACTTGTAATTTGTCTGGTTTGCACAATTCTATGGATCATCCAGAATGCAATTCAAAGGCTGAGTTTTGTGGCTTGAGTCCATTTGAATGTGCCACGGCGCATAGGGTTCAAATGCCTTCCGGACACTAAGTCCTAAGTCACTATTCTGTTTGTGTGATTCACGCCAGAGACACCTAACAGGAAGAAAGTTTAGAGCTCTCTGATAGGAATGCTAATACTACCACATAACAGTCAGCACAAGTTTTGGATTGTATCGTAGCCTGGTGTATTTACTCCAATTCTCCGTCAAGCAGCCATCAATGTGTGCCTTACTCCTTGAAGCAAGGCAATGTGTGATATTTTTAGATAATATACTTAGCAGCATCTTGAAGCCTTCCAATACAGATGAAACAATTGATTCCGACACTCTTTGAAGCTGTTTGTTAGCAAGAAAATATGGGAATGGACTTTGCAGGAGTTCTGGGTTAGAATTTGAAAGAGACTTACCGATGGCAAGTAGGTCCACTGACTTCCAAAAAAGGTAATTTTGGACTGAAATACAGCACGGAATTCAATTGTCTTCCACTACTATCCCAAGGTGGCTTGCCGGAGCGCGCCTGAACTTACCAATAACCCGATTTCGGGACCAGGAGATGGGACCTTCGCCCAAAGAAGGTTGCCGAGAAGTAAATCAACACATCGTAAGCCTGACAAATCCCTGACACACTCTTCCAGACTTGCCAGACTGACCTTTTCAATAGATTGTCCCTGAAGAAGGTTAGAGTAAATCATGCCGATCCCGTTGGACCCACCCTGCTTGATAATGGAGGTTGAACAACGCTACAGAACGGTTCTGTGGCTTGTCTCACGCCATACAACAATAAATCTATATAATATTAAAGAGTTCATCTCTGCTTTTTCATATTCATCCGCTTCTCTTCAATTATCAGAGTCATGGCACCATTGAGCGCTTTCGTTGGGAGTCTGGGTCTTGTTGGCCTTGCCTCTAGTGCAATTCTCCCCAAAATCAATAGTTATCCCGGTCATGACTTGGCCTTGGATAATCGCACACTGGATGAATTATATGCAGCAGCAAAGAATGAAACCGGCGAACTGATCTTTCTCTGGAGTGGAGATGGTATGTTTCTGTTTTCTTTCTTTACTTTTCTCCTCGGTGCTTGTGGTCTATACTGATCATGGTTCTACAATTCAGCTGTTAGCCAAGGAGACCCAGTTATTGCTGCGTGGAAAGCTCGTTTCCCCGATATAAAGCTCAACCTGACTGTAGATGTTTCGAAATCCCATGATAGTCGTGTCAATCGCCAATTCCAGCGTGACGGTACCGATGTGCTGATATTGCTGTTCTGCAAACCCTGCATGAGGATGGCCACTGGAAGGGTGAGGGAAGACTTCTTCCCTACAAGCCTCTTAAATGGCAACATGCCTATTCCTCATAAGGACCCCGAAGGCGCTTTCTTTGAAACCTTCATCTGTAAATAACACCGTCCCAACTGCCCAGGTCGTTATCGAACACGTTACTAACGAGCCCTGCAATAAAAATAGACCAATTCGGCAGCTTTGTCTCCTTTCGACATACGACGAACTCCTGGACCCCTCTAGAAAAACAAACTCTTCCTCACCCGGCCTAACGACGACGACGCGATAACCTACTTGTTCTCAGTGATTATCGAAAAACACGGCTGGGGTTGGTTCGAGGGTCTCCAGGAGCAAAACGTGAAGTGGGTTCGTGGAACAGGCGAGCCTGCAAACTATATGGCAGAGAAGAGCCCATCTCGCGTTCCGTCCTTCACCACGAACTTGAACAGAGCTGACAATGTCGCTTACTAGCCGGTGAGTGAAACTCGCGTGTTGTGGCCTCAAACTGCTGCCATCTTTGCTACCACCCCTCGGCCGGAGAGCTCCAAGCTGTTCATGAGCTGGTTGCTCAGCGACGAACGTCAACAACGGTTCATTGACAACGGTAGCTACCTCACGCGGAAGGATTTGAAGGGACAGGTTGGAAGTGTGTGGGATAATCCTTACACACCTCTTATTGAGTTTGCCACTTTCATGGAAAACCGGGACCTTGCTGAGTGGTGGCGTCTTCAATTTGAGTCCTCTTGGTGTCGCTAAAGGTCCGAGTCCTGTTGACTCTTTCTACGGAAAGATGCACGCTTAAAGATAACTCCAAAAGTGATTTAAAGCCATCGCAAGCTCTCAAGTTATTGACTGTTCTGCACTCTCTTGAAATAGGTTTGCAAAAGGGACATCTTGTACGGACATGTATTTTACTACTGGGCTAGACACACTTCAGATAATATGTGTATCATATTTTCTTGCATTAATAATTCGTATGCGCACACTTCCTTATAACGCAGGTAGTAGCGAGCAATTAAGGTTGAAACGCAGGGCTTATGTATCTAGTGGCACTAAAATGCAAAAGGAAAAAAGGCTGAGAGGATCCACTCCATACAACGGGAGCCCACTTATGACGGGCACGTGCTCTGGAAACATACGCTCATTCCTTCTGAGGTTTCTCCCATGTCATTTAACGGCAAGCGATAGAGATGGATTGCGTGGACTGGATTGCGTGTACTCTTTCGTTTTAAATTATCTCTCGTTAGCACATCGTTCACCTCGGAGTGGCCGAATGCAACCATAAGCACCATTGGCCAGTCGCAAGAAACAAATCTTATCAAATGAACACGCGAGCGTTATTGGCCTATACATGGTGGAAACCGGTAGTTTGGGGGCTAAAGCTTAGGGGGATAAAGCTCGGGGCCCGGGTGCCACTACAGTCCGATACTTGGTTAGACGCGGCCTCCACATTCTGTGATAGGTACCAAGCAGGTACCTTACTGCTGCTACTCCCAGTTTGGATTTCCAACCAGGTTTTTTCGATTTCCCCTAATTTTTTTCATGCCTTTTTTATCTCTCCGGGGTTCAAACCTATTTCTTCTCTCGTATCTTCTTCCTCACGCCCGACTCCTGCCATCGTGACCAGCTGATACAATACCGCAAACGGTCTCGTGCCCACTGCAGGCTTCCCCTCAACTTTTCACCTCCGCAATCCTGCCGAGGTCCAATCGTGAAGATAGTGAAGCGCAAACCCACCGGCCTCAAGATTAGTCCGCAAACATGAGCGCAACCGAGTCCAAGCAAATGGCCGAAAAAGGACCCGATCCCCTCAAAGAGGAGCCCGTGGAGCTGCCACCCCTCGAGGATGTCGCAAAGGGTCGCTGGGAGCGCAGTTGGCCAACCATTGCCTGCGGTGCTGGTCTTTTCTCCGATGGGTATCTGAACCAGGTGACTATTCCTCCGCGTTGTACCACAACAATGCTGTCCGACATACACGTGGGATGCGCCATTATTGACATGCCCTGATTTAGATCATCGGTCCAGTCGGCACCATGCTGGGAAAGCTCTATGGAGATGCCTACACTAATTCCACCGCGGCGCAGAATGTCTCCTCGATCGTTTTTGCCGGTACCGTGGTCGGTATGCTGGGCTTCGGCTACACCAGTGACCACTGGTCGCGCAAGTGGTCACTGATGATTTCTACTATCATCCTGTTCATCTTTGCTGCTCTCGGAGCAGGATCTTATGGCGCTGGCGGTAACATTGGAGGCATGTTCGCTGCTCTAACTGCTTATCGCTTCTTCCTCGGTGTGGGTATTGGCGGCGAGTATCCTGCTGGATCGGTCGGTGCTGCTGAGAATACCGGAGAGTTGAAACATGGTCATCGCAACCGCTGGTTTATTATGTTTACCAACTTCCAGATTGATGCCGGTTTCGTCATTGCTTCTTTGGTCTCTATGATCTTGGTTTTGATCTTTACCGAAGACCACCTGCGGGCTTGCTGGCGTGTCGCTTTGGGACTGGGTGTTATTCCACCTATGAGCCTCATGTATCTTCGACTGAAGATGAACGAACCGGAGGAGTTTAACCGGGAGCGGATGCACAAATTCCCTATTTGGTTGATCATCAAGTAAGTTCGACGAGTGTCAAAGACGTGGAACTTTCACTGACCTCTTTCTAGGTTCTACTGGAAGCGCCTGGTATGTGGAATCTTGTCGGATTTTGAAATGCCCAGGCACTAACCTAGTTCAACAGACTGTCGTCTCTCTCATCTGGTTCCTCTATGACTTTTCAGCTTACAGTTTCTCAATCTACTCTTCCAAGTGGGTTGACATCATTCTCGGCGCCGACGCCCCATTGTGGAAGAGCTTTGGCTGGGCTACCGTGGTCAATGTTTTCTATATTCCCGGTTCCGCCCTCGGTGCCTTTATGAGTGACTGGATCGGTCCTCGGTATACCCTCGCTCTTGGCGTTGGTCTCCAGGGAATCGTCGGATTCATCATGGCCGGGTGCTACAAATGGCTTGCTACCAAGGCCAACGTTGCCGCTTTTGTTGTTGTATTCGGGTGAGTCTTTCGAGAGCTTTGACAGGATTCTCTCACTAAAGCCACCGCCAATACTAACTAATTGATACCAGAATCTTCTCTGCTCTCGGTGAAATGGGACCCGGCGACAACATCGGTCTAATTGCAGCCAAGACCAGTGCAACTGCCATCCGTGGCCAATACTACTCTTATGCAGCTGCCATCGGCAAGGTTGGAGCATTCGTCGGCACCTATGTGATCCCAATCATTCAAAAGAATGCCCCCAACGAAATCCGCGCCGGCCAGGATCCTTTCTTCGTCTCCAGCTCCCTGTGCCTTCTGGCCGCTTTCCTCGCCATTTTCATGATCCCGCAGATTAACCAGGTATGACTTACCACAAAAGGATGATCTCACTCAGACGCTAATCACCAACTAGGACACAATTACTTACGAAGATTCCAAATTCCGCGACTACCTCGAGGCAAACGGCTACGACACCACCACGATGGGTAACCACAACCACAACCGCCAGAGCGCCATCCCGGAACAGGAGTAATCGCTTTACTCCAAACCAGGCCCATCGCACCACACTCTTGCTTACCCAGATGGGCTCTTGCTCTGAGCCTGCAGCTCTATCGCCACCCGTTCCCAGAGTCATAATACCCCATGCGCCACGATCAGTAATTCTTTGAAACACCATGGCACGATTGATGAGACAGCGAAAATACTGGCCCGTGCGACTTATTCCCCTGCCCCTGCGACATGGTTGATAGCTTTATGAGACTCGAACTAGCGCGGGCATTGACGGAGCGGATCTGCTGGTGATCTAGTTCGGTGGTGCGATTCCGCGGGATATGTAATTGTCTCTTGGTGTGTGATCGAGCCGAATCTCCTAGTTGAAAAATAATCAAAGCCTTAAGGCATAATCAATTTCCAGTCTGACTTCCGAGGCTGCCTGTGGTGATAATTCATCTTGAGCATCATAGATATCAGATATCCTCATACTCCAGAGTGTCAAACAACGTCTGTTTGATCTCTATTGCGAAGTTTCGAGGAATAGAACCCTTAATGGGTCTGGAAATGAGAGAGAGAGATGGAGAATCTAGGACTGGCAAGACGGGAAGCCCTAGGATGAACTGCGGGCAGGCCAGAGGACCGCATGATGCCTGAGGCATGAGGCATCGGTCCGATGCATCAGGCAGGCTGCATGTCCTGACAGGAGAAATCCGGGGTAGCAAACAAGTCAAATAGTTTAAATGGTTTAAGGTTTGCTCGACGCGTCTCTAAACCACCAAGACGTGTTTTTACGTCAGCGACTGAATTCCCTCCCTCCTAATAATTGGAAATCGTCGCGAAATTGACACGTCCCTAAATAGGAAATCCGGGGGCAGCAAACAAGTCAAATACTTTAATCTAATCAATCTACCTTGACACGATCTCGACGCGCCTCTCAAGGTTCCTTCTCAACTACTGCATTCCCTCCCAAATTCGGAGACTATGTCACCTCAACAGAATACTCGAAATGGCCATCCATCCACTGAATATGCCCATACTCCCTAGTCTGATCACACTCAGAATCATGCATTCCCGAACACCCGAGGACCCCACCGCATAAATCGCCCAGCCTCCCCAAAAGCCTCCCAAGGCTTCTCCCCATAAGCAAAGGCAGCAAAAGCCCCCGCCGCCTCCAACGACATCTTCTTCAAATCTTCAGACAACCCCTCCAACTGGTTCAAATAAATAAGCAAAGCACACAAATCATGATACGACAAACCCCGTGGGACTCGCAAACGGCGACGGCTCCTCGAAATGATAGAGATAAACATCCTGCCCAGTAGACTGAGACTCAAGTGCTGCCTTTGCAATCCCGATATTAGGGTATTGAAACATCGTCGAACCAAGGAAGAGCCGAACAGCATCACGATATTTCTCAAACGACTGGGCTTTGGTACTAAACGCAAAAGCCGTACGGAACTCGTTCAAAATCTGCTCATCAAGAAAAGCAATATCAATCATCTCCCCAAACTTCTCCTGTGGAATATTCTCAGGGATAGCATCAAGGATCATCAGCACCTCGACATTCCTAACACCAAGGATAATCTCCTTACACCTTGACCTATCTCCATCTCCAAACCTCCACCCCTGAGGCAGAGCAGCCCCATCCTAACAGGCCCCATCGCAGCCCTTGAATAATTCCCAATCAAAACACCTACGTCAACAGCCCTCATCCGCCGCACCTTCTCATCAACACTAATCTCCCCATCCCGATCCCCCGAATCAGATATAGATATCCCACACTTCCTCCACTCGCCCCGATAAACCGCAAACGGCAATGGACCAAACCCAGGAGCCGAGCGGCGCACCGTCCGGTGTCCTCTTCTGGGCAATCGCCTATATAAACGTGAACGGGATGTTCTGGTACCCATGGATGTTCACCGTCCTCTTCGGTATCGGTTTATGTTGGCTACTTCCTGATTCACCTTCGACGGCGAGCTTCTTGACAGAGCGTCAGCGGTACTTGTTATCCACCAGTTGAGCAGTAATACGATTGAAGAACACGCATATGAAGAAAGATCAGGTTATGGAGGCATTGTGGGATTGGCGTATTTGGCTGTTGGATTTTGCTATTTTGCTCATAATATGACGAATGCCTCTGCAGACGACTTTTATGGGATTATTATTAAGGGTTTTGGATTTTCCACTTATCAGGCTGTGTTGCTTAATGTCCCGCCTGCGATTATTATGGCTGTCACGATGGTGATCGTCAGCATTACGCTGTCGACAAGATGGGGAGAAGGAAAGCGCATTCTCTTCATTATCCTCTGTTACATCCTTGGTCTGGTTTCGACAGCAATGCTCTTCAGGCTGTCCTTTAACACCGGCACGAAGACTGCCCACCTCGGTGCGATCTTTATCGTTCTGGTTGTTGCTTCCTCTGCTGGTATTATGTGCTCGCTTCCGGCGAATAATGTAGCCGGATACTCGACGAAAGTACTTGCGGTCGCGCTTTTCTTCTCGTCGAATCGTGTTTCGAATATTGTGTCGCCGCAGGTTTCCTTGGCTCGTGAGGCGCCTTATTATCATACGGGAATTATAGTGGGTATGGCTGCGTTTGCGGTGAATATTGCCGTCTTTGCGTTGTTGTATGTTTTGTACTCTCGCGAGAATAAGACGAGGGATGTTGATCCGGCCGGGTTGGAGGGGAAGGAGGATCTTGTGAATGTGAATGCTTCCTCTGACTTCATGGATTGGCAGAATAGGATGCTGCTGTATAAGCTGTGATTGGCAATATAATCTGCATCCAGTTATGAAAGTGTAGAAATTGTAAATTACCAGGCCAATACGTATCATTTACATGGAGATTAAGTGTGTGGACAGCTCAGATTACATCCACTGGAAAGATAGGCCCAAAAGAGGCAAAAAAAGCGAAGAGAATCCAGAGCGAAAAGATTCATAATACGGTATACTGGTAGGCACATAAATTCAGGAGCATTTGCATTTCTATTTCTTCATTAAACTCATTGACGTATATACTCGGGCATTCACGTGAAGCACGAGTAAAACACGGGGAAGTGGAGGACGCCAGCGTAACAATACTGGAACCCGAGATCTCCCAAGCCGAGGTTGGATTTCCGGCTCCATTCGCCGTTCAATTACCGACCATCTCCCTTTATCACCTCCCAACACCTCACCTCTTGGAACATTTCTGGTATTCAAAGGTAACAGTCACCATGGTCGCCGACGCTCTTGTCTATCACCCTGCGCTGGCGCACTACTTGCGCTTCGTCGCAACCACAGGTACGTGACCCCGGATTCGACATCTGTACAGCCCGACCCTGCACACGACATCTGCACTCCTGCCACCAGCCCTGCACACAGCAGTGCCAACTATCCCCTGTTCCCATCGCGACCACCTCAAACCGCCCTCACAGTCTAAACCCCTTGCCCCAACAAAACCACCCAACCCCCGCCCACGCTCGAGCACACGCGAAACCCGAAACCCGAAACCCAGCTAACCAAACCACAGTCGGCCGCGACAAACTCCTCCGAACAATCCAATACTTCTCCCGCTTTTACGCATGGTACTTGTACCGCACAAACCGCCCGCAAGCCGCCATCGAGCCCTTCAACGCAATCAAGAAGCAATTCGGCACGACGCGCAAGATCCTCCGAATCGGCAAATTCATCGAACACCTCAAGGCAGCCTCCATCGCCCTGGACAACAAGAGCCCCATCGATCCCGTGCTGCGCTACCTGGCCATTGGTCGCCAGCTCGGCTATGCCGGCTACCTGACCCTCGACACGATCACCGTGGTTGACGTGATCGGCGTTCGGAAGCTGGCTTCCGCGAAGCGGCTGCAGGAGTCCGCTTACAAGGCTTGGGCTGCTGGTTTGCTTTGCAGTGCTGTTGCCGGTGTTTATACTCTGTACGGTCTGCAGCAGAAGGAGAAGACTGTCGATCGGAAGGAGGGTGAGGGGGTTGTTGAGGCTAAGAAGATTGAGAAGTGAGTTTTTGTTACCCGTTACCCTGGAACAGCAGATTGTCTGGTTGGGATGCTAATATTTTTGTTTTCTAGGGAGCGCTCCGCTGCTCGGATACAGCTCATCTCTGACCTGTGCGACTTGGCTGTCCCTGCTTCTGCTGTTGGCTGGGTTGCTCTCGACGATGGTATCGTCGGTATCGCTGGTACCATCAGCAGTTTGATCGGTGTCTGGTCCCAGTGGCGCAAGACCGCATAAATAGGGTCTCGTTGATGGTGATAGAGGAGAGACATGTTGGTCCGCGCTCTCGGCACTACCTAACGGCGAAGGGAATGCTGGTCCGGGAGATGAGAGAGTTAGGCGAGGTTTTATTATTGCGCACTCCACCTATATCCTGAATGCGTTTCTAGTCTATGAACAGATTTGCGCCTTCCTGTTTCTACTATATGTCTACATGCAGTTCCTTTGTTCCCGTATATAACTTGGCTTTCTTGAATAGATTGGATATCATTCTCGTCATCATATGGCTACGTACCCCGGACTCCCATGGCAAATCTGACAGTCCCCGGCCATAAAATCCTGCTCAACTTCACCGAGCACCCATTTCGTGTCACATGGACGGCTCAAACGGGGCAGGTCTAGCATAGTCAGTATAGCCACAACACAACAGACACAGGAGTCAACTTACAGCACCGCAAGAGCCGCAGCTCTTGCCAGCGCCGTCAGTGGCGGCACCGCACTTGGGGCAGGAAGCGTGACCCATGATGTAGATGGAGATGTAGATATAGACTGGATGTGGATGTAGATCGGGTCTGGCAGATGTCAACCACCAAGGTCCTCATATGTGGAGAAGCATAGCTTATAACATACCTGTTGGATGTGCAAAAGGTTCTGATCCGTAAGAGGTGATGACAAGTCAACAAATCGAAGTAAGTGAAAATTGCTGACTTTTGTACCCCGCCTGACTGGTGCCCCGCTCTGCACAAGCTTCATATTTGCCAAGATATACAATATTGACTATATATTCTCCAACACAAGTTAATGTTCATATCGAACAACCACTATGAATTATTAAGACTTTATCATGAACATATATCACTCACAAACCCTCCATATAACCCCCACCTCCCCAACCGCATCCCCATACATCCTCTCACAGACAGAATCCCCCTCCAAAACAAAGACCTCTTATCAAACCCATGAACAACGCCCTTAACCATAAACCCATCTACACTCTTTGTCCAGTCATCCCCCACAACCCACGCAACCTCTCCCGAAACGTCCCCTCTTCAACAAGCAGCTGATCCCACCCACAAGTATAAATAGCCACATTCGGAGGATAAACAGCCTGTATCAGCTCATCCGGTACAAGACCAGGTGATAAATAAGGATGAGCCATATCAACTCCACTCACACCCTCATCAGAAATAGAGGTAGAAGAAGCAGGCTTAATAGGCAAATCCCCACACCCTAAATAAGAAAAGCACCAGGCCTGATCATAGATTTCTTCCTTGCAATAGGATTACTCCCATTCCTCTCCTCTCTACCCCTGGTCCAATCAACAGGTGGTTAAAATGCCACGATCCTAGCAAGTCTAATATCCCCCTTTCCGCACCTCACCCTCCAAACGAAACGGCACAACCAATACAAGATTCTCACCAGCACCCGCACAACTAAGCACGAAACGCGACGTACCAAAATTGTATAGCTCCATGTGTTTCCACCTAGAGGATAGCGTCGACACTATCTTCTACTGCTGGGAAGGGGAGTTTCAGTGCCAGGCGGTACTTTATGCTTATTGATACGGCTTTTGGGTGGGCTTTTAGGATTGTCATGCACCAACTTGCGCCGTGTGTGGCGTGCCCTATTGTGAAGCCGCTGCCGTGGAGGTTTAGGAGGACGGGGTATGGGGGATTAGGGGTGGTTTTGGGGTTGGGTTTGGTGGATGGGTTTGACGGGGTGGTGTAGATGTAGAGATTGATTTTGCAGGGTATTTTGCTTATTGTTGTTGGGATTGTTATCTTTTTGGTAGGTTTTTTAGGGGGAAGCGGGGAAGATTCGGTGGCGGTCTGTTTCTTTTTCCTCGGGGTTGATTGGGACGGTGGTTTGTTTGGTGGCATAGTTGATGTTTATCAATCGGGTATTGGGGTATAATGGGCAGTCTTGCTCTGTTATGTCTTTTTGGGGGTTTGATATTGTAAATTATGTAACTTGGTGGTCATGTCAGGCTCGTAGGTATTGTCTCTATTTTCTGTTCAGTATCTTCCTTATGGAAACTGTTGGTGAATACAGTGATAAAGGTCTAGATGAAAAGCACCACTATGTGCAGGTTTCAGGGGAGCTGATGACGCAGAGCCGGATCTCCCGGATTGTCACGACGAACAGGCATATGATCACAGTAAGGGGGCATCTAATTCGATTAATTTTGATGACCTAAATAACCTAAGAAGCATTTGTTATGGCAACATTTCGTTCTAGATGTATCTCTCTATATTGAGTGGGAAATTGGAGCATAGATTGTCTCAACAGTCAGGGGTACGGTTAAAGCTATATCATACGGTAGGTGACAGAATAAGTAGTATAGTGGAGATTGGGTGCCCCTTTTAAGTATAGTCTGAGCGCGAACTGAAGGCTTGCTATATTGCTTGAATATTCTCTCCGAGCCCTCCGTAATCAACAGAAATTAACCGAAGTACTTCTACACCTGCTTACTTCTACTCAGTATGGCTTCCTTACCCTGCCCTCCCTTCCAAGATTGACCGCCACTTCCGAACCACTCAAGTTCAAGATCGGAAATTGCTCAGCAAATGTTAATTTGTCGTTACTCACGTACTGATTAATCCGAAGATTACCCGGGGGTTATTGAGCTTCAGTCCAAATGAGCCGTCGGCATATCTAACTCCGTTTAAGCCCGTTAGCATAGTGGACCCCCACTTAGAGCCCTAAATGTCTTTCTTCGAAACAGCCACCTAAAGCAACAAATGAGCTTAGCTTATTCCACCACCCCCTTAGTCCAATACGCTGCTTGCCACCCTTCCCTTTTCAGGTGCTTCCAGGGCCGGCTTGAAACAGACACAGGACCCTGACACATTAAGAAAACGCAAAGCCGAGCATCACATTGGAGGAAATAATGGCTGCCGGTCCCCAATGGGGCCGGATAACCTCCCAATTTGGTTGTTTCCGTTCTAGTTCTCTTCTAGCTCCGATCCAGTTCGTTTCAGAGTAGCAGCTGTAGAAGGATAAAATAGCCCTTGTCTGCTCTTTGCTTGAAGAATCAATCAAAACATTACACTCGTTTAGAACCTCACATTCTTTTCTATTTTCTTTATCATGGCTTCCAGTCTCAAACTTTGCCTCATCGGCCTGCTCGGTGCTGCTGCCGTGAATGCAGCTCCCGCCATCGTCCCAGAGACCGATGTTCTCGGTTTCTCTCTCCTTGCGCCTCGTGATGCTTGCACCTTCTCCGGCTCCAGCGGTGCTGCGAATGCCATCAAGAACAAGAAGTCTTGCTCCACCATTACCTTGAATAACGTCGCTGTCCCAGCTGGAACTACTCTGGATCTGACAGGACTTAACAAGGGCACCACCGTAAGACTATCATCCAGCTCCAACCTCAAGATTGCCTACTAACCACTGTCTAGGTCATCTTCCAAGGAACCACCACTTTTGGCTACAAGGAATGGGAAGGTCCGCTGGTCTCGGTTTCCGGAACATCCATCACTGTCAAGGGAGCCTCCGGAGCCACTCTCAACGGAGATGGTGCGCGCTGGTGGGACGGAAAGGGAACTAACGGCGGCAAGAAGAAGCCTAAGTTCTTCTACGCCCACAAACTGACCAACTCTATCATTGAGAACATCTACATCAAGAACTCCCCTGTGCAGGTGTTCAGCGTCAACGGTGCTACGGAGCTCACTCTCAGCGGAATCACTGTTGACAACGCCGATGGCGATAGCAAGGGTGGCCACAACACCGACGCTTTCGACGTTGGTTCCAGCAATGGTGTCTACATCACCAACCCAACTGTCCACAATCAGGATGACTGCCTGGCCGTCAACTCCGGCACTGTACGTATAGGTTAGCGGCTTATTTTGATGGACCATCTGCTAATTCCTTCTAGAACGTCCACTTCACCGGCGCTCAGTGCACTGGTGGCCACGGTATCTCCATCGGCTCTGTCGGTGGGCGCTCCGACAACGTCGTCAACGGTGTCACCATCCAGAACTGCAACATCAAGGACTCCCAGAATGGTACGTGAAGATATCACCAGAACCATAACATTCCTGTATCTAACATTAGAGTATTACAGGTGTCCGCATCAAGACTGTCTACGGTGCCACCGGCTCCGTGAAGGGCGTCACCTACAAGGACATCACCCTCTCCGGAATCACCAAGTACGGCGTCGTCATCGAGCAGGACTACGAGAACGGCAGCCCTACCGGCACCCCCACCAACGGCGTCCCTATCACTGGTCTTACCATGAGCAACGTCAAGGGAACTGTCTCCAGCAGTGCTACTGATGTCTACATTCTTTGTGCTTCCGGTGCTTGCTCCAACTGGTCTTGGAGTGGCGTCACTGTTACGGGGGGAAAGACCAGTAGCAAGTGCAAGAACATCCCTAGCGGTGCTAGCTGCTAAAAGCCGCTGGCATCTTGAGTTGGAACCCTGATTTTTATTCTGATTGATTGGTGTTGGTGGGCTTCTTTGTCTATCTTTTAACCCAGTTGTGTATATTATATTACCTCCAGGGGAGGCTGATTTGATTTCTTGTACCTTAAATCCAATTGCGGAATATGCCATTTGACCAAAGTCTTCCCACTTTATAGCAGGTTTGAACCGAGATAGAATGTGTAAGTAAAATTCAACGCTGTATTGCATGATCTTAAGGCAAATTATCCCAAATTTATGTCTCCTTTCGTAGGGTAATCTATCACCCAACCATCCAAACCAACGAGATTGAGATTTCAAACGACAAAACCAAGAAATCAAGATGAATCTCAAGGAGTCTAAAAACCATTGCAACGGCTCCAATCAGCTCTCAACGGCTGGCGAATCCTCCCATCCCGCACAGCGTCATATATGATCGAAATCCACGACCCAACTGTTTTGCGCGGACGCGGAGGAACATCCGCCGCGGCTTCGGTATCGCAAGTTGGATGTTCTCCAATGCCACAGTGAAAAGGGACGTCCAAATCCCATCGCACAAAAGAGTAGAGAGCTTTAGCAGCAGGTCCTAGGGATGAGTTCGCATTGAGCTCGCCGGAGAATGACTGCGCTCGCAGTGCCACAAATGATGACCGTGCCCTCTGGCAAATCTCCTGCTGCAAGGACTCAATTGCCGCGAAAGGATCCTCTGCGCTTAGTTCTTTGGCGTTTGCTAGCAGGACCGGCACCATGGCCGTGGACAGAGCCTGGATCCTGACAGAGAGGTCATCGCGTGCAGATTGCCTCCACGAGCCGCGAAGAGCCTGGATGAGCTCACATCGTATCGCCGCGCTCTTCCCTATTGGGATATGCACGGATTCAAATGCCAATTGAAGCACATTGTTTAGGCCATTCAGGAAAGTTTCGTGAAGAATGCGCAGATCCACCGCCTGGCATGTCACATACAAAAGAGCCGCACTCATCATAGAGACCAGCTCAACCGCCTGCAGCGTATAGCGCGCTGAGATCAGAGCAAGCGAATTGATAGGCTGATTGTTCATCTCAGCTGACTGTACATGCGATGTCACCGAGTTGGCGAGGAAGCCAAGCTCAGACATATACGCCGCCATGTTGATGTCGACACCCTTCATCGTGAATGACAGACTGGGATCATCTGCCGCGAGATTTGCTGGGAGACCTTTGTTCAGGTCCGGGTTGATGAGCTCGGAAGAGTAGCTGAATAGGAGTTTGCCGATCATCTGGAGGCCTCCGCGCGTCTTTTCCATTGCCATAGAGACGGATGCTGCTTGGAAGTTGGAGCAGAAATATACCTCTCCTGAATCGGAATCTATGACTGGATTATCCTGCGTGGAATTGAGTTCAGTGGTAAGCTGCTGGATGGCTAGTCTTAGGTCCTCGACTACAGGTCCAAGCCACTGTGACGCACCACGGAGGGCATATCGGTCTTGGATCAGTCCCTGGCGTAGGCGATCTTTCGTTCCGGAAGTTTCAATCAACTTCGAGTTGATAATTCCGTTGCGGATATTGGCCGCGACCTCAATTTGACCAGGATGAGGTCTAATCTTGGCTGGGAACTCATGGTAATTCTCTGCATTGCCCATCATAGCCTCACACGTTAACGCAGTAAGACCTTGCGCTAGTAATACCAACTGACTGGCTTCATGTGCCGCCAAAGATGCAACAGCTGCAGAAGCAGCTGAGCCATTGATCAAACTCAGACCTTCTTTCGGTCTCAAAATGAAAGGCGGGATCCCAATAATCTCCAGTGCTTTGTTTGCCGACACAATCTCAGGCTCCGGCCGGCGATCCCAGTAAACCTTGATATCGGGGTTTCCTTCCAAGATGCCAACCAGATACGAGAGGGGCATTAGGTCCCCAGATGCAGAAATGGACCCGCGCAATGGGATTATCGGGGTGAGCCGTGCCCGAAGCAATCTCAACACTGTATTGATGATCTCAAGCCGGACGCCGGAGTGACCGCGTAGCAGATGGTTGCATCGCACGAGCATCGTCGCTCTCACCCATGTTACTGGCATAGCGTGTGAGGAAATGTTGTAGTCGCCCATGCGCGGAACAAAGTCGCTTCCTGTGAGTATTCCTGACTGGGTTAGTTGGAGGAGCGACTGCTGTAGTCGGATAACATCCGATGTACGGGTATCTGCGCTGCCTCCGAAACCAGTGTTGACACCTAAAAGGTATTAACGCAGTCCTTTTTAGGGAGAGTTTCCATCCGAAAGGTTCTCGTACCATATATGCAGTATCCTTTGTTAAGGTAGTCGTTGAATGTTTCGATTCCCGCCTCGACTCTCTTGGAGACCTTAGTATCACTGGATACTTGTGCGGCGCAACCCTCACTAAAATTCGGTGTTTCCTGTTAGTCAGTGTAATGCAATATTTTCTGTGTAGGAAAGTAAATAGGGGAACAACCGAGCAACAGCGACCACACTGGCAATGTCCAGAGTTTCCCCATCGACATCGACGGCTCCTTGTTTAATCAAAGACTCTATTTTAGCCCACGAATGCAGAGTCTCATCCTTATGAGGAACTGGATGTGACGAAACAGAGAGAGGGGCGGTATAGGAACCCCCCGAGGTTACGAGGCTTTCAATCATGGTAGCGCGATGTTTCAAATATCCAAGATGTCCAAGGTGTCCAAGATGATATGACAAAGTTTGATCGAGAATGAAGAAAATGTGAATGTGTGGGCTCTCTTGCCCCTTTCAAATATTCCGAGGTAATTTATAAAGCAGATCTGACCTATCTGCCTTTTCTGTTCAAACGTACGATCGGATCAATAATTGCAACGCCACCCGAGATAATACACTCAAATTGAGGGCTCTAGTTGGTCAATGCGTTTATTGGCTCCCAATTGTCAAAAGGACCAACTAGAGGTTTACAAAAATAGTTGTGATCGCAACATCGTGAAATCGAAATAGAGAATATCATCCGGGATCTTGCATAATCGCAGAAAAGAAAATATCGGAAAAGGACAAATCCCAAAGTTGAAGATTGCTTTCCACGTGGACACTTGAAGTCCAGTATTGGTGGTCAGCCACAGTTAAAACTAGCAAGATGCTGCATGATTGATACCTTGCTGCATATGCACTGATTCCACCATCGTGCAGCTTATCGTCGTTACCGCATGATGTAAGAATACATATGGGTGTTTCATCCCTTCAAAGCAGTACATAGCGAATCAGATTGTGTTCCGCTCCCGAGCCACATTATAGAGCAAAAGCATATGCATGCTCTTTATTGAACATCTTGTTGCTCCGATTCCCGGGTACGAAATCTGCAATATATGCAAGATATGCACCTGTTCAACTACCAATGAAGATGACCCTGAACTGAAGACATGGTTTATAGATGCACACAGTGTTTTCCGCATGATCTTTCTCGGGAGCATGTTATTGACCTGCAAGGTTGTCGCATTGCGGATTTGGACTTGATCTTCCCAGTCCGAAACCCTCGATTTTCCATCCTAGTTCGGTCCATTTTTTTCGGCGTCGCCTGCTCCCGAGAGCAGATATTTGCCAAATGTGGTGTGTGGTTCATGTGGGCTCTGCATATGAAGTAAGACATGCCGCCCTTGCCGCAGGCTATTGATTTGACCCGAGGGCGGCAATGGACTACCGTAGACCCTACTTAGGACTGTTACTCGCAGTTACAGTTTTGTCACTCCCCACCGGCCTTGGTCGGAAATAAAAATTGTGCCTTGACTGTAACCGTAATGCTCATGCTATACGCCCAGCACTTAAACGGATAGAATTTTCGTGGCCAACAATCGCTAACTTGTCTGGTTGTAAAGTTGCATGAAGGGAATGTGGTTACAATGGCTATCGAGTTTCCTTCTCTGACACCCATGTTGACGATAGCAAATATTCGAATAAGATAATTTTCTATTTGATGGTCATATTTAACTTGTGTTGAGAAAATTTCAATACGCTATCGTTGTATGTCGCTCCCTAACGGATTCGTAGGACTGCTTAGATTACCACGAGGGAGAGTACTTACAGAACCAAGACTCGACTGTCATCAACTCCTGTCCCTCCTTGGGCAGGCCTAGTATCAGGGCGGGTCTTTTGCTTGAGTTCCAAGGAAGTCTGCTTCTCGGAGGGCTTAGGTCCAAAGTACAGTCCTCCACTTTCCTGCGTCATTCCAAACAGATTCTTGGCTTCCTCCAGGCTGGGAACTCCGTGAGCATCAAATCCTTGCCAAGATCCAAGTGGCTTGAAGCGGGACTTGCGTCCAGTTACTTTTTCAAAAGGTGATACAAGATCGTCAAAGCTGCAAATGTAGCTGCAGCCAGAAACAACCTCGCCATTCCATCGCCAATGATCAAGGAACATGCCGTGCAGAATGTCCCCGAGGTCATCCGATACGCTCATAAATGGCACGTCTTCTTTGCCACCCACATTTGGGGGCGACAAAGCTCAGGTATCCTTCGGAATCGGGTAGGTGAGGAATCCGCCAAAGATGGCTGCGATCTCCTTGGAAGCAAACATCTCTAGAAACCATGCGACAGAGATATAACTGATGGTTTCAAAGCCGCTTATGCTTCGAGCATACTGCTCAATCTCCTACTTTGCTATCGAAACCGTCTTAGTAAAACCAGGTATTGATCAAGGGGTGGCTTACACTGGGCGGACTTCTCAATAGCCTTCCCGCCAGAGAGCTCAAAGCTGTTTGGTGCAGTGCTGAAGAGGAAATGACGCACTCCAGCCTCTGCTGCTGCATCAACAATGATCTTACCCAAGTCGATCTCGGTCAGATAACTTTCCTTGATCGACTGTATATCTTTTAGCCAGCTGTACCACGAGATTCTCACACGTGGGACAAGGTTTCTTACCTTGTCGTCCGAGTTGATATTGACAAAAACGCCCCACGAGCCTGCAAATACAGAAACCATAGATTTCAAACCAAAGCCATCTGCCTGTTGAATCTCGGCACCCTGGAGTGCAAGCTTCTGACTGGCATCAGAGTTGGGGTTTCGAGTGAGTGCCCGAACCTTGAAACCGGGATTTTTCAGCAATGAGCGAGCGACAGGACCACCTTGGTTGCCAGTCGCACCAAATACGGTTATCAAAGAAGTGGTAGAGGTCATATTGGCGACGTAATAAGAGTTTTGCAACTAAACAAAAGCAAACCCGGAAAGTAGTGCTTAGGATTGTGAGGATACAGTCCGGTTGAGATACAAGGAGCAATAGAGAGGATGGCGAAATCAAAAATTGAGAGGGACGGTGTAATGAACCTTTAACCTGTTATCTTCTGACTTAATGTCTTGCTCGGCCTTTTGGTTCAAGACTTGCACTATTCCTCGCATGTAATTCCTGCATGGTTTGCTCTCTCCGTCGATGCTTGCATACGAGATTGAAAATAAATACTCATATGCAGATGCAAAGCGAAATAAATTCTCGACCTCGTGCCGAAATAATCATTTTTGGAAAGCCACAATAGGAAACCGGAAGATCGGAAGATCGGACGAAATCTATATCGGATACGATCAAATATTGCTTATTTGCCAAGCCTTTGGCTCAATTAGGCACTGGCAAAACTTACATCAACATCAACACGCCATGTCAACCTTGTGAGCCATCTAAAAGGCTTCGGGGAGATTTCGGAATGAGCAAAAAAATTGTCTGATCCCGGAGGCAGTCTGCGGCCCATCGCGCAATGTAGATATACATACGTCAGTTTGCTGAAAGGACACTGAGCTCCAAGTCAGAGTCTGATGCATTTATCAAGTCATTTTGTTTGCGAATTAGCAGGGTGATGGTCAAATTGGCAACACAGCTGTATACGTGTATGAGGACCTCACATGGGGACTTGCCCAGCTGTAGCACTTAATTTTACTAATTGGCTACATAGTGAATGGAAGTACCTTAGATCCTCAACCGCCGCTACTCGGGGCATCTAGCATTGCCAAGAAATGCATGCATTTTTATTGAATAATGCATTGGAAATACAATTACTGCGGCCGGCCTAGGTTGGTTTAGCGTACATTTGCTAGGGTTCAATTATTAAAATATGGGAGTCCTTCTAATATCACCCTAAAGATATCAGTGAGAGACATTCATCCTTATGTATTTGTATGGCGATGAAACCCCGCTCTCAATACTGATGCATTGGTTCAATTTGTGCGAGCAGCGATGTTGATGTGTGTTGTGTTGAATGGTCGGGCGGGAAAAACGACGGTGAAAAAGTGGAGTGGGAAGATATTTTTGAATGGGTATTGAAATGGGGATGGCACGATGGCAGTTTGACATAGCAGACGGGTCGATATCAACGGAGACAGCGCAACCAACCACTCCCATGTCCGGTACAGACGTAGAGGGCAGTCTCTGTACGTGACTATTGTACTAGAAATGAAGCTGTATCATGTAAGAAGAATTTGGTGGGAAACTGTAGTCATATTGGGGATGGTAGGATGCTGCTATCACTAGGAAAAGAGTGCATGTAAGCTTCCTAAGGCATTTTGTGATACCTCAGGCCACTCATACGCTACTCATGGGTTCCACCACTACAGTATGTAGTAAGGTACAAAATATAAATAGACAGCCATTATATAAGCTGACATATATGCCGGCATTCGGCTGCTAGAATCACCTATCGAAAAACGTGTGGGTTTACTCAGGACTCAGGTTCTCCCAAGTAGGTGCCAACCAAGTGGCCCATATCGCCACAGGCCATGACATCTTCATAGTTGTCACCAAATCCTTGACCTTCCATAATAGAGCGATAGTACATGAGCTCTTGGTTGTTGTATTCCACGAACCCGAACATGTTGGCATGGCCCTGCGTCGTGTATTGCGACCACTTACTCGCGACCGCAGTGGCACATCCTGAAAAGGAGCTCGGATCGACACCGGTCGCTGCATGCTGAAAAGCGAGCTTCACTCCCGGTCCATCGTGTCGCTTGTTGATAGAAGAACCGCTGCCGGATCCAGAGAGGGGAATATGTAGGTGTGCAACGCCATCCTCGAAGTGATGGATCTCATAATCACGAGCAACATTGGAACCCTTCTCTCTCACACCATGGAGACGATAGTGATGAGCCAAAGCAGGCAGGCTGTCACTGGACCTGGCTCCAATGCGTGGATTTGCAACTTTCTCATGAGAAGCAATAGTATAATTCAACATCTTCAGGGCTTCTATGTCGTACTCATCAGAGGGAAGAGAACGGCGAGCATTGGTATTCAAGTTTGAAGAAGCCGCATCGGCAATACCAGCACCGGCACTGACCTTCGACGTGAGCTTCAAGGCCAGATCGAACGCAGCTCTAAACTCGGTGAGGAAAGAAGCACATCCCGCGACATTTTGTCTTTCGCAGAGACCGCGAACATAGTCTTCAGCATCGGTGATAAAAATGTTGCTGGTATTCGGAAATAAGTTAGTGTCCGTCTTATCAAGGCGCTAACTAGGAGTGATCTAAGTCAAAACATACGCTGTCTCGAGGATTCCATGGCCAATCCAAATCGTCCTTGCGATACTCTGGCAATTCAACGCCCGCTTTTCAAGGTGGGCTTGAGCTATTCCTGCGGGACTAGGACTTTGATTGGCAGCTTGAAGCTGTCCATCGGTAACAGGAGCGGCGAAGGCGATATTGCCGAAGGCAGACAGAACGAGCAGAGCCGAAGGGAACTTCATCTTCTGCTGATTGAGGATATAGTTTTGGGAGAAATAGAGAGACTGGTTTGGAATGGATTGAAAGAAAAGGATGTCAGGCTCTGTGGCCGAGAATTTATACTTAACCGGCTCCAAGACGTCCTCCACTCGGAACAGAGAGTACGGCCACAATGGGCCTAACGTGTGGAGTTATTTGGATGTGGACTTGTTGGTTTCGTACTCTGTGGTCGGATGGCTGTCTTCATTGCTTAGGCATGAAAGATCGTTGACTTGAATTACTATCCTAGGGAAGGTCAAGATGTATGCAACAATTGGCCCCATGTGGGTCCCCGTCGGTATATACGTGAGCAACAAAGGTTCCTGCTCTTGCACAAGGCTCGCTCGTCATCGATTACCAAAGTACAGAAGCCAGGCACAGAGTCATTGAATATGATTTTGAAAAGAGACTGAATTAACAATAATATTGGAAATGGACTTGAGTACAAAGACCTACGTCCTGTTCATCGTAGGAAATGCCCAGGTTAATGATAATCATCTGCGATACAACTGGGCAGTTTCATGTATACTACAAGCTCCAAAATCGGAGTCAGGTCTAGGGTGGGTAAGCGACTACAGAATGAGGGCCAAACCTTCGCGCCCTCTCCGGGCGATTGTGCCTTGCTGTATGCTCCGAATCGTAGGATATAAAATCGGATATTTCGTATCCACTGTTTGGGGTTGTCCGCCGTATATTGTATGTGTCTTTGTGGAGTTAAGACTGAGAGAAGTGGGTCATTCACCGCGCTAAATAAACTAAACAGATCCTTGTCGCCTACCAGCGGGTCCGGGCTCCGGGACCATTTTACGGGACATGCGGTCTGGTGAGTATATGACTACAGAACGGGGACCATATCTTTAGCCCGCCTCGGGCGACTGAGACAAGAGGGTCATTCACCGCGCTAAAATAAAACCCTTGTCCCCTACCAGCGGGTCTCGGCCACGGGGCCTTTGTATGGAAAAGCGCCTCGGCTAACCCCTGTTGTAATTTTCTTACGACATCATTAGTTATTCAATTCCAGCCCCATGATTCAGCCTAACCAAGTTAGCTAAGCCTGAAGATCGGCACAGGTTGCATTTATGCATCAAAACTGTCGACGCTAATAGAAAATAGAGGGCTCAGAGTGAGGATATCGATGGGATTACGTGTTTCCTTTGCACAATCCGCATTCGCAAGAACTCATTTCTTTTTAAAACTTACCGGGGCATTGGAACTTAAGTCCTCATCATAGTATCTACTACGGCCTGAAGATTGCATAGTTCACAGATGCATCCCAAGGAGTGTATAAGAGATCTATATAGCATTGTGGCAATGCAAGTGTGTTGAATTAATTCCAAAGAAGAGAGAATGAGGTAAAAAAGAAGTGAAAAGAGAACACGATCCCGTGCCACTCTAAGAACCCATGCCCCCTGGATTGATATCAACCCCATTCGGTCCCTTTTGCTGGATCCTGTATTCTCTCTAGCCAGATGCAGCACTTGCGTTTTCGATTGCTTGTTGCCTTTTCCAAGACCAATTTAGGTAACGGATGCGGACAAAGTAAAGAAATAACACAATGTTCGAGTAGTAAGACGCGGAGTTGCGTTGAGACCGGCACTCGTCTATATCGCAGTATTTACGACAGATGAGGTATTCATATAAAAACGGACATAAGCCTAGGAAGATCATGTAGCTAAAGTACAAAATGAGTGGTCCATAATGCAAATTAGAGAGCGGGGCCCGTACATAAAGTTATACTTAAAATCAAAGAATCGGATCTTTTTCAAAAAGCGTTCCAGCCATAGAATCTCATGATCTTCGGCTAACCGTGTTTGTTGGGCCGATGCCGAGGAGTGGTCGGGAAGTTTCGAGTCCATCGTGAATCCAAGAAAAACCGTAGACTAGGCAAGGCTGGGAAAGATGCTGGAATTGAGGGTGTGAGCTGAGTATGGGGGAAAAAAAGTTGAACTCGGGAAGGGAATTAAAAGCCTACTTATAGCTTGCCAGTGATGTGGGGCTATTTGCCTTGCTAAGCATCTCGTGTTGTGTCGATCTCATTTTCCGGCGAGTCCTACCGTCTACATTACATTGTTTCTGTCGGGTTAGCCGCTTCCTACGGCCGACGATAGGGCCCTGCGGCCAAAAACCCACCCTAATCCAATAATATGTCGTTTTCTGTATTCACACTTTTTTTCATCGCAAGCCTGAGCTCAGGTCCCACTACCACCATCAGCGAGATAACGTTGGGGTGAATAAGTGTCGCAATTACCTTAGGAATACTGCATGAAACCGGGTCTATAGGTGGATCACGGGAATTATGCGCAGATGCTATTATTGCTTATGCGAAGCTAGTTGTTTCATATTGAAATTAGATGGATTTCCGAATGGCTTCGGGTATATGATATATCCGGACCCAATTATGTAATTAGAAATTGCCCAATAACTAGCAGGAAATAGGGGTATGAAATACAGAGTCATTGATACATATGTCCAATTTGCCGGATACAGTACAGATCGTGACAATAAGTTATCTGGTCGAGGTCAAACCCAACTAAGAAGGCGGTGAGACCGGCCGAAAGCTCCAAAATTATAGTCCCGTGGCGCGTACCTGTACCGCCTCGGGTGTTGGTCCGCCAGTGCCCAGCGTAACTTTTGATGCTATTCAGCTCGACTTTACCACCTTCCACTATGAATTCTTCCTATTCAGCTAATGAATAGCGTATCCTCCGCTAGGGTTAAGAATGGACTTTTACACGTCCGAAAGAACAGCTTTTTCAGCATTATAAAGAGGGCTATTAAGTACAAATGGTTCCGGCACGTGGCAAGCAAATTAAGCAGATGGTTTAGGCTGCCTTTTACGGGTTACCGCGTCGTTCTAGCCTAATCCCACTATTCGGAGATCCGCTGTCTCGTCGCGGTGGTGTTTCGTCTCGTACAATTGAAGAGCTTTATCGGCGTGTCCTACCTACGCTACTTAATAGTATTGATTATAGTGCTATTGTCTAACAAGATTACACCATGCGTACAAAAGGTCCGTGGAATTTCATGGAACCCCGTAGTGGATCTCTGCAAATCTGACTTGGCGAGTGCCACCTGTTTCCAGGAGATCTGCCTCGTCGCATCAGCTCTCCGTTTCAGCCGCACGATCGACAACACCCACCACCAACGACCCAACCCACAACCTGTCACGCTGATTCACTACGGCGCATGCTCACTACGATGACGCCTGTTATAGGCCCCTGTTTGAGCAGATTGGGGCGATCTACGCCGATCCGGAACCTGCTCCACACGCAGGATCAGATTTCCCCGGTTACCGGCGGGCCTGCGCACGTCTATGGACACCGCAAGCATTCGAGCACTGGAAGGACATTTTAGCGGACAGCGAGGTGACTCGATTGCCGAGATTATCGGCTGGTGAGGACGCCCAAGTCATCTACTCTGGGGTATGCGCACCGGCCGGTCCGCCAGCGGGGATCACGATGGCGACAGCAATCAAGGCGGCATGGGCATATGTTTTGACACAAGAGACTGGAAAAACGGACGTTCTCTTTGGCCAGGTCACAAATTGTCGGGGCATCCTGCCGGACGGAGGGGAGGGGATGGTCGGAATGTGTCTAAACACAACAGCTGTGCTGGTTGAAGTTAAACCGACTAACCGGGTTCGCGATCTTCTGGCGATGGTCCAGCAACAGCATATCAAATCAGTTGAATATGAAACGAACGATTGGTTTGATATTGTTGCGCGGAGTACTTCCTGGTCGGCCGATACCGATCTTGACTCCGGCGTACTGCATGAGAACTTTCCCACTTTGCATGAAATGACCCTTGGAAATGCCACGGGACAAATGATAGAGCCTATATTCGAGGACAGTAAGTGGACACGACACCTGTTGATTACTTTCCCGGGACCGCAAGGATTGGTGACTTTCTTCGTAACGAGGAAGGGCGCCCTTGATAATACTATGGCGGAGGGGCTGGTGCCCACGTTCAATGACACCCTCGTGCGGTTCTTGGATGTTATTGGTCCTGTCCGTTGATTCTGTCATATTTTGCTCGAGATTCATGGAATGGGAAAGGCAGAGTAGTCGCTATAGAATGACTTGAACAAGTACATTCTTGCAGGTACGTAGCGTTATCCTTGTAGATTCCTTTGCCACGAGCGGCTGATTTCTGGATCGTTATTCATATATACAAATGCGAGGTGATTTGGTGCAGATGATATACAGTGACTGGCCAAAAGTTTGGACACCCCCTTAGGCCCACTTTCGTATCGCCTTCCCTTATAGCCGACACCGCCTAGTAAGACACGCTAGCTACGCGTCGCCATTTCTCCCGATTCTAGCTATTTTATACTATTTCATGAAACCTACCTTTCAAAATCTGCTATTTTTACTATGGCTCCACGCTCAGAGCTTACACCAGCTTTACGGGAGAGGATATGTGAGCTTCATTCGGCTGCTCACTGGGGTTATAGACGTATCCATAAGAGATACCAGTGGGTTTCACTCTCGGCGATCTGGTATACGATCAAAAAAGAGCATGAAAGACGCGACGGTGTCTCGAAGCCGCGTTCTGGCCGACCAAAGAAGCTTAAAGAAGCCAATAAAGTACGCCTTTTGGATACAATTTTATGAGAACCCTCGCGTTACACATGAAGATATCCTTACTGAGATTTCTTACAAAGTGAAATGAAGTTAATCCGACGGCTTTTGAACACTGAAAACCTCCGGAAATGGCGATGTCGCTGGCGACCGTTTTTAGCCGAGGAAAATGCCGTTAAACGACCTTTTCTTGTAAGCTGTGTGGGTTGATACAGAAACAATGTATGTGTACCTCGAACTTGTAGGTCCCATCATGTGAATGGAATAAGTCATTTGGTCCAGGGGGCTTGGCGGGTGAACAGGTACGGGGAGCTGGACTTGTTGTATTTAGACTCGCTTTATATACATTTCTGTGGCATCAAACAAAGAGAGCATGTCAATAACCCCGACGGGAATTCGTTCGATCTGATTGAAGGAACATAAACGCCAGCCCTGAGGGAATATGGTGGAGCTACCTGCCTCTGTCCTAGTGCCATCTCTCTTGCTTCCTCTTTCTATCTCTGTCCTTCTCCTACCGCGGCTGTCGACTATACAAGGGGCTTACCCGAGTTGATCCTTGATTCACACTGCAATCACAAACCTTCACTGCACCCCTTTAAGATTCTTGTCCTGCTCCCGGAGCTATTCAAAAATGTCAATCACGTCCCTTCCAGTCGAACTGCTATATGGGATCTGCAGCCATCTTCCATATTTATAATGACAAGCGCTTAGACTCACATGTCGCGTATTATACAAATTATCTTTTGAGGTTCTGCAGTCGTTATCTCAAAAGTGTTCGCTTTATTGTGACTGGCGAGAGCCTCCGTGAGATAGAAGCTCTTGCTGAATCGGTGTCCGGCAACGAGTTATGGATGATACCCACCGTTTTTGATGGTTTCAGTTGGCATAAAATCTCTATGTCGAGCTATACCGTGTCTTCTAAGGGTTGCACGGCCGGTAGAGGGTGATAAACTAGAGGCTCGACATGCTATATATTAAGCCATAATCACAGACAGCTCTAGTCTCCTAGAGTCCGACGCCGTATCCTTTTTGTTACACTTCGGCCCAACCAAAACATCAGAAAATTTCATACTTGGGGACCTGACTGCTGAGTGATATCCCTGAATTGTCTTTCACACAAGCGCAGTACGATTCTCTTCTTTCTGTTCTTGATGGTCTGGGGGATTTCCATATCTGCCAGAGGTTTTTAGATGCTACTTTTGCTCCTCGGACATTGTCTGATCTGATCATAAAGGTGGCTGCCCGTCTAAAAGTACTCGTTATATGGAATGCCAAGATCCAGTTCGCAACTATCGGTGCAGACCGATCCCCATAGAGAGCTTTCTCGGAGAAGTGAATTAACTTAGCTTAAAGACCTTCTTCTCCGCAAAGATCATATTAATTCTGATGCTTTAAGATCACTCCTTAGAAATTGTAACGCGCCTCTAAAGATGTTGACGCTGGCTAAGGTGACATTGACTATGGTCAGATGATAGGAGCACGTGCTAAATAAATTGCTCTTCACTCGGTATATCTAGGCTGCATTCCTTCAATGAAACAAGATATTCTTCTTTGAAGACATTTTTGGATCTTCTTTCGAGACGAGTTATTGCTCCAAAGACTTTCCATGACGAGGTTCGCTTGTGGATTGAATCAGATTATCTTCGAGGAAGAAGATCTTGGAAAAAGCCACACTGCTTTTTCCAATGCAGGAAAGTCGAGACTTCTTTTAATGAGTGGGTCAACCAGTTGACGCCTTTTCCTGCGTGTGGTAGTATCCCTATATGGCCATGCGAAACCGAAAGTGACTTAGATACGTTCTGACGGAATTTAGAAAAATTCTTCAACGAGGTGATGCCTGCAGATGGCAGCTCAGTGAATATGTCGCATGTGACTGCCAGGACAAATTTTATTGCGACTTAGATAGTACTGGAATGTGATGAAGCTGAGCAGACAGACAGCATATGACGCATCACTATATTTGCATTTATAGTTTTCAGATCAACGAATTTGACTGCCTGGTACTGTACAGATGAACCCATTCGAAGTTTGAACCAGCTCAGAAAGGTGTGGACGAGATTCCATCACAGCAATTCAAATTGTATGACAGAGTGGACATGTCTCTGGTCAGTGACAGATGGATTTGGATACCTCGGTTTGAACAAGACGAGATCAGAAAAACAGATCAGAAGGACTGGATGACCTTCACATCAAAGTCGAATATCGTTGTTCCAATTAACTTGTGGCTCAATGATGTATTGCCGCCAAGAAGATACCCAAGGGATCCGCTAGGTGCTGTGGACCAATGCACGACCTGTTTTTAGGGCCTGATAGTGCAGTGGCTTACGTGTCAAATAATTCTCCTGAATCAAGTGCCATTGATGATTGACATACATGTACCCATACAGTGCACTGATCAAATCATTCTAGTTAAGTTCCACCTCTACAATCCGACTATTTATAGCCGGTGGGACGAGTGCGCAGTTCTATACTAAATCAAGTAATGATGATACAGATCGCTCGGGCATAACGCATGATTATATAGCCGACTCCGAAGTATAAGAATGCCCTGATCACTCGTCTGCAATCACAATTTCTCAACAAGAGCAAACTCCTCTGAACCAGCTCCAGTACCGCTATTCTCACACTCGCGGCATTATGCGTTTCACACTCTTCACTGTCTTTGCCTTTGCCAGCCTTGGCCTCGCTACGGTAGGGGACATGTCCTTTACTGCCATGACTCAGTCTAATAGTATGACAGATTCCTGCCGGAGGAACCTGCAAGCCTGATGGTAGTATGGGCAACTGTGCCTCTGGCCTGTGTGTGGTAAGTGGCATATACCGATGTTACCGATGTCCGAGAATGGGGAGACTAATGATGTCACTATAGAAAGAGGCCAACGCTGCCACCGGAAAGTGCAAATGATCAACAACACTATTTTTGATCAGACCTGATAGTTCCATGGTGGATATAGGAAAAATCTATTGGGAATCGACAGGAACTACGCGGTACACTTTCCTTTATGTTAAACCGCTGGCACAGAGAATCATACATTCAATATCGAGCATGCACATTTAATCCATATTTATGTAAAAAAGCCTTCTTGGTGGTCTGATAGTAAAATGTGTGCATGTGAAGGACACCCTGAATCTTTCATTGTGGACTGTCCCCACACTGTTATTCATCATCCCGGAGAGACAGGTGATTAGCAATTTAATTAGAGCAATGTTAAAAGGACCCCTCTTGTTGATATTCGGACCCCCTCTCCCCCTGTCTAAGCCTAATTAGCGAAGGCATAGTATATGTATTTCACCGTGTATATTTTTTAGTACAGTGATAGCAAATGTTTTAACACCATTGGACAGACCGTTTTTTAGACCGTTTTTAGACCGCTTTTTAGACCCCCTATCGTAAACTGAAGAGTAAGTCTATATCATCTCACTTTCTAAACGTTTTTGCTTTAGTGAGTGCTTTTTATAGAAGATAAGATTCAACTATCACGGCGTAGCGTCTAGGGTACGCACGCGTACAATTGTGCGTACTAAATAGTATATTTATCGGTCCTAGGCATGTTAGCCGTCAGGCTGACATAGTGGTCTTTTTGGCCTAGTTGGTATACGTGTATTGACCTAGGTGCAAGTCTTCACACACCCTACGAGGCCTATTGTCTTCCTCTACACCCTTTCTTTCATTCTTACTAAGGAAATACAGTACACTATGAAATACACATACTAAGCCTTCCCTAACGTTAATTAGGCTTAGACATGTGGAGAGAGGGTCCCAATATCAACAAGAGGGGGTCCTTTTAACATTGCCCTTTAATTATTCAATGTTCCTTTTCCCCAGCTGGGCTTCTTTGATTCAATTAGGGCGATACTCTAGTCTGAAATCGGTAGTAATCACATGAAGCGGACGCTCGACGGACCCTTCCTATAGGTAGATGATTGTCTTTTCAATCACAAGGCATTTCGTCAATTTATTAGCAGACATAGCGTTGCACGTTCACAGACGGGACTGGAGACTTGGTTTTGGGGGAGAATACACTTTGGTGACCTGGTTGCCTAGTCTGTTCGGATTAAGGGATGTACGTAGTCATGATACAAGCTTTGGGCTTCAGGTCAGATTATTGTGGTGGGTCAGATGGCAAATGGCTACAACATAACAAATAGGGCTCTATGTATGAAAAGACCTGGAAGACCCGAAGAACTTGATTTCAGGACCAAACTGCGGGTCTCGACCGCCATGGTGATTCTTCCCCTGATGATCCCACCCGAAGGAGCCGAGAAGTACAAGGTTCGTTTCACACGCCCATAGTGATATTGAAGATATGGCATTTTATAAACAGCTGCGCGCCTACAAATACATGGAATGGTATGCGTCTCCAACGGCATCCTTCAGGATTCGAGAACAAATAAGTCGGGTAGGTTACGTTGGATTCAATGATTGACCCCTATTCCCCACACACCTCGAAAGGAATTATCCATGCGAATACTTGCAATTACCAGCTCGCGTAGCCTGTATCCAACGCGTCGGCAGTAGAAGTGACAATCTCCTTGAAGTTACATATTCTCATCAAATCAGCGTACCGTATCTCTTGTAGTTGGCTGGTCTTACTCCAAGCTACATTCAATGGCGTCTAATAGTCCGTGTTAGGAAATTGGTTTTGTTGACATCGGATGAACTTCGCCTTCATATTACGGAGCTTCAGTCAAAGCATTCAAGATATAAATTTCTATAGCCGGCAGTATATCTTCTCGTCCTAATTTGTTGAGAGTTCTATACGCCGTAGGCAGCCACCAACCTAACGTGTGGGTCTCCACCACATTGAGTATGTCGGACTCCGAGCATCACGATATAAACAGATACAATTTCTGCTTTCTCGTTATTATCAAAGGCCAAAGAACTAAAGCAAGCTCTCCAAGAATCTTCAATACGCAACCCTCGCTATGTCTCCCTCTCTTCCAATCGTGGTCTGCGCCCTAGATGCCGAAATCGGCAAGCCGGTCTCCGAGCTCCTCCTCCCCGACTTTGAAGGTTAGTCCGATATACATTTATTCCTCCAATATTTACTATACCCCAGAGCAGCATGATCACATCATTCCCAATATCGTACCATCAATAACTAACATCTATCAGTAATCCACTTCATCCAAAGCCTCACAGCAGCCCAATCTGAAATTCCACGCCTCCTCGCCGGCGAGGACCCACAGTCCCCACACGTCGACGATGTTGGCACAAAAGATTTTAGCAGACCGGTGCGCGCGATCATATTCGGTCGTGGATTTGACCTGAAGGATGTTGAGGCGCTTCGCGAGAAGGTTGCCGGTATCTCGTTAGATCCTGTTGTTTGGATTGCTGGGGACCCCAGTCGTAGCTTGCCTCCTGGCGCCGTGCCGCCGCCTAATTTTCCTCAGCTTGTGGCTGGCGTTGCTAGGAAGTTGCTTGGTGGGTGGGTTGAGGCGGGGGCCGATCGGGATGAGGTTGTTTTGTATTAACTTAAACTGGAAGTTTATGTTCTTGGGGCTCAGAAGTATGTAGGTGCGGTGAAATTCTCTTTTACCTCTATTTCTAGATTATTGTTGACAGATAAGGTGGTAGGACATCGCCTAATAGGAGAAAAAGCGCATGATTGGATCGAGTTTATTGAATTTATTGATCAGAAACGTTCAAAGATCGTTACTTCGGAGCGGTATACGTATATCTTTAGCGGCACTGCGGCCTTGTAGATAGAGATCAAAGTGAAGGAGACGGGAGCAAAGATGTTCGGAAAGATTGTCAGGATAAGAAAACAAAACAAAGCAACATTGGAACATTCGGAATACTCGTAAGCAAAATCTAGACAAACTTGGAACAAATAGATCTCCGTGATGGCTTGATACATCACAGCCTCTCAGATGCAATTATAGTATCCTACTCATGATACTGTGGTACCAACGCATCGGATGCATTATCTACTGCATGAACGGGTTTGCTCCCAGCGATACCTCACATGTGAATCGAGATTACTCTTTTGGGGTCGTTACATGACGGCCTTGGTGAAATGCATGTCTACCTTGACACGAGGTTATCTAAAAAGCGGCATTTTACAGTTATTCCGCAGTCCGGGAGAGAGCAATAGTTCACGCCACTTTATACCCCGCATAAGCTAGGGCCGCTGGCAAGACCACGCGACAATTTCCCCAGAAAAAGGCCAAGACGCCGAGCAGCGGCCGTGGACAAAAAGGCACACAAGGGCCGGAAGAATTTGTCCAGTGTCTGAAGTCATGGGATCTGGACCGGACTCCGTTCATAGCCGTTGGTATCAACAATGACGTGCGGCGCTGGATCGGGAGAAATAGGAGGCGAGTCGATCTTTGTGTGCCCCCTTAAAACGCACCGGCCCAGGCCGTTTCGCAACTAGTTGGGCAGATACACCGATGATAGGTAGAGACTCGAATGAACGAGCACAGCCATATCACAACGGGTAAATTAGGAAGCTAACTCCTAGTGATTGGCTCTAGTTACTATCAGGGACCGGGGATTCCATGTTGGTGAATGTTGATCCGGTTAAGATAACGCGCGAAAAAAATAAAGAAAACAATACGGATGCACGAGAAGGGGCAAGATCACGAAATAGATGGTGTAGACGGTCCAGGATCACGGGGTATACTTTGTCTATTCATATCCCTTTTTTTTGCGGAGGACAGGGGGAGCTCCACCAGCCCTTACTGCTTCAGGGTGTGCGAAAAAAAGCCTCAACTCTACATATTTCAAGCCGCCCAGCAACTATGTCACGCGCAAGGATGCAATAAAAAATGAGTTGATCAGCAGGGTACTTGGAATAGAACTCACTACGTAAACATGAGACAAAAATCGCGCAAATGGGTAATTGTTTCATAGTCCCCGACTGGAATTTGAAGAAAGGTCGCGTTCCCGAGGCCGCAGCCGGGTCGGGATCCGCCGCTAAACCACGGAGAGAAGGATCTGGGGTTGCAGACAAGCCACAGGTAGGATATGCCGAGTGGCGATGCGATACGAAAAGAAGAGTCAAGGCTGACCACCATTGACCGCTCATTTGCGAGATTTGTCTATTTGTCTATGTGCCCATTTGTCCATTTGTCCGTTTGGCCATGTGGTCGAGGCCACGGAGGTCTACACGTAATATGCATGGTTCCCGGGGGCTTGCGTTGGAGCTTGGAGTCAAGTTCGGAGGGCAGGTACCAGTCGGAGGTGTCAATCTCACTAGAATTCCAGTTAACCAGCGATAATACGCTCCAGGACCCAGCGGCAATATCTTCTGCCCACCCGACCATCCTTGGAGGTGGAAATGTGAAAGCGCTGATTGGCCGAGACCGCCGCAATCGATGGATGCGGGTACATCATCCTCGGCTGGTTAAACGCCGTTATTTGCTGCTGAAATCCTGATCTCAGATGCTTCCGACTTTTCAGCCGACCCTGTCGTCATCCGGGTTTGAGCAATTTTCAGACACGAAGCATTCCGTTCGGGTTCATGCAAGCCGAGAGAGAAGTGAAAGAGAGAAAGAGAGAAAGAGGCTGGAATCCAGTTCGGTTGATCGACGATTATGTCAGCCTCCCCCGCGATTTTGGCTGAGAGTATAGGACCGGGATGTATGAACGAACAAGTGAAGTCATTGCGCGTCATCTACCTCTCTACATGTGCAAAAGAAACTCTTTTCACGTTCATGGACTATTGGTAGTCATTGACGAAAGTTGTAACCTTAACCTAGGTAGAAATTATTAGAATGCGGTTTGCCGCAACCGTCACCATAAAAGACCCTGGATAGACCTCAAAAGAACTTCACTCCTGTAATTACTTTCAAAACGAGTTATTTTTGATATCCCTAGTATCCCTAGTACTCCAGTCTAGCCTCCCTTCCGATCCAGAACGTTCCGAGTCCAGTTCGTGTCCACTAAAACCTTTCGGGTCAAGTCGGACATACTAGGAATTTGCTACCCACGGCACTTCATCCATCACCAACCGCGTGGACGCTTCAGCTCGGCCCTTCAGCCCCGACATCACCCGTGGAACTGTGGAGAAACATTACCCTTGATACTCACAATGCCTGCCGGAAAGAACTATATTAGTCCCAATCGCCCCGAGTCTCCTGGACCTCTGGCTTCTGATTTCACTCAACAACAAGTCGCGAAACAACGCAACAGTAACTATCACTCTACTTCACTCAGAAACATGGTTGCTACATCTGTGAATCGCACTGCGCTGCACCCTGGTGGTGTCCAGTATGTTACCTATACCTGCCTGTCGTCGAACCTCGCTGACCATCTCTAGGCCTGGCAAGGGACACACCGAGCTCGAGGAGGAACTCCACGAGACTGCCCACATTGACTATGACCGTGTCGCCATTGTAAGCCATACCCCGCCGTCTATAGCCTCCACTGTACTCATCTAACACCTCTTTAGATTGCCAACCCCTCCGTCCCTGCTCTCTACGAAGATGCTCTCGTCTACGAGACTGGTACCGCCGTCACCTCCAGCGGTGCTCTAAGCGCCTACTCCGGTGCTAAGACTGGTCGTTCCCCCTCCGACAAGCGTATTGTCCAGGAGGCTTCATCAGAGAACGACATCTGGTGGGGACCCGTCAACAAGCCCATGACTCTTGATGTGAGTGATTTGTTTCTTGCGCGATTTTCTTGCATATTTCAGCCCTTGCATATGAGACCGATCAGCTCCACCAGGATCCTCGCATATGCATCGGAAGACCAAGCTTTTCTGGCAGCACTTTGTGCAACACTGGGATGCCGTCCTTTCCGATACATTCCTGTTTTACTTGATCGTGTTCCAATGCACCTTTCCTTTTGCCCGATCTGCCTCTCAGCTGTCATTTGCCGCTGGAGCCTTTGGACCGAGGCTATCATGGATATGACGTCATCGATCTGTTACTAATCAGCTCTCCATAGGTCTGGCGTATCAACCGTGAGCGTGCTGTCGACTACCTGAACACTCGTAACCGCATCTATGTCATCGATGGTTACGCCGGCTGGGATGAGCGCTACCGCATCAGCGTTCGCGTTGTCTGCGCTCGCGCCTACCACGCTCTCTTCATGCGCAACATGCTGATCCGCCCCAGCCGTGAGGAGCTCGACCACTTCCACCCCGACTATGTCATCTACAACGCTGGTTCTTTCCCCGCCAACCGCTTCACTGAGGGTATGACCTCTGCCACCTCTGTTGCCATCAACTTCGCCGATAAGGAGATGGTTATCCTCGGTACCGAGTACGCTGGTGAGATGAAGAAGGGTGTCTTCACTGTCCTCTTCTACGAGATGCCCGTCAAGCACAACGTCCTGACCCTCCATTCCTCTGCCAACGAGGGTGAGAACGGCGATGTCACTGTTTTCTTCGGTCTGTCCGGTACCGGCAAGACCACCCTGTCTGCCGACCCCAAGCGTAAGCTCATCGGTGATGACGAGCACTGCTGGACCGACACTGGTGTCTTCAACATTGAGGGTGGCTGCTACGCCAAGTGCATTGGTCTCTCCGCCGAGAAGGAGCCCGATATTTTCAACGCCATCCGCTTCGGATCCGTCCTCGAGAACACCGTCTTCGACCCCGTCTCCCGTATCGTCAACTACGACGATGTCACCCTCACCGAGAACACCCGCTGCGCCTACCCTATTGAGTACATCGAGAACGCCAAGATCCCCTGCAAGAGCGACAACCACCCCTCCAACATCATCCTGCTCACCTGTGATGCCCGTGGTGTCTTGCCTCCTATCTCCAAGCTCACTCCCGAGCAGACCATGTTCCACTTCATCTCCGGTTACACCTCCAAGATGGCCGGTACCGAGGACGGTGTCACCGAGCCCCAGGCTACCTTCTCTTCTTGCTTCGCTCAGCCCTTCCTGGCTCTCCACCCCATGCGCTACGCCAGCATGCTCGCTGAGAAGATAAAGGAACACAAGGTCAACGCCTGGCTCCTGAACACCGGCTGGGTTGGCGCTGGCGCTACCACCGGCGGCAAGCGTTGCCCTCTCAAGTACACCCGCGCCATCCTAGACGCCATCCACAGCGGCGAGCTCGCCAAGGCCGAGTACGAGACCTACGCCACCTTCAACCTGCCCGTCCCCACCTCCTGCCCCGGTGTCCCCAGCGAGCTCCTCAACCCCGAGAAGAGCTGGACCGCCTCCACCTCCTTCAAGGACGAGGTCACCAAGCTTGCCGGTCTCTTCAACGAGAACTTCAAGAAGTACTCCGACCAGGCTACTCCCGACGTCCTCGCTGCCGCTCCCCAGGTTTAAAGGATCTGAGCGGTTTCAAAATTTCTTTTTCTCCTTTGGTCCTTGTTCCTCCGATAGGATGAATAAGTCATTTGCATGGCGTGCTACTTTTTTCTGGTGATCATCTTTTTGGATCACCTTGCTGACGTCTGCCGCTTGTATCGGGACAAGCGTTGGATAAGTTTGATTTCCCCCCGAACTGGGTTTTGCTTTTTATATCTAGGCCATCGATCTCGCCTGGCTAGATGGAGTTTGTGATGTTTACGATGAAATTTCCTACATGATAGTCAATGATATCATCCATTTTAAGAAATACTCTTCCTTGTAGCTATCACTAACCTCGCGATAACCTAGCTCTTCATGTCCATGATGAGCTCCCATCTACATTACTACACGTGTAGTGAAGGTTGGTCTGCGAAGAATTGACCGGCAAGCTGTATCTTGTTCTCTTTCTAATAATATACAAGACGTATGCTGATATATATAACCCAGCTGTCAAAGGGTCCTCCTTCTATAACCAAACAATAATCGTGCGTTCACAAACAAACTTGTGATCACCCACAAATTTCATTTGTGCAATCGTTACCAACCAGTCAGGCATCCTATTCACCGCAAACATGCATGACTGTCGCTACCTTGGCCTTAACGACTTGTTTTTCCGCCATTAATTCATTTTCCCCTCAGCTTCCGCGGGTTTTGCTTGCAGGCATACATTTTCAGTCGCAACATCGGTGATTGAGTCCAATGAGGTAATAGCAGAGACGCTAAAAGTGCAATACGCAGTGTTTTTACCGAAGTCTTAGAGGATAGAAACGATTTGGTTCCGCCTGGTTCGGCCCGATCCGAGGCCTGAAAGCCGGCTGCACACCATCGAGCTAATTACTGGGGCTTACTTATTTAATAAAATGCTCCATGCAAATTCAAAATGTTTTAATTAAGACTCTGTAGACGGAGAGAGTAATGACAACGAATCCTATCAGGCATATTCCTTATCTGGGTCAGGGGGCTTCGCCTCTTTCGAAGTGAAGCAGCAATGACGATATTGCTCACACTGACCGTCCCCAGCGACAGGCATGTCGACCTCGCCCCACATGACAGGCTTAAATGCCGCTTTCATATCACCCGGTGGAGGGTGACAAGCAGCGCTAATAGCAGCACTGCAATTGATTGCCATTGGCATAAGAGGCGCCGCAAATCTGTTGAACCCCACCCATATGACAGCAGCCACCATCAATATAGTCAAGTAAAGCCCGACTTGAAGGGGAATAGCCGAGACACAGGCCGTCAAGACTTTTGCACCTTGTATCTCCTTTCCATGAAAATCCATTGGGACTATCTCAACAAAAAAGAACCCTTCCGAGATGAGCCAATGAATCAGCACGAATGCCAGAAGTAATGGTGCGCTGTAGCGATACGGAATGGTGAGATAGAATGTTGATCGTTGCTGTCCCCGCGGGAAGGAAACTCGTAGCCGGCGGTGGCCAAGCGCATACTTGTTGTACTCCACAGCCAATAGCATCCTTGTCAACGCATCGTTGAGTAGATAGTAGAGGACAGACACTATGAGCTGCGGAGCGTTAATGAGGATCTCGAGAGTCACATAGTTGGAGGGAAGCTTAAGCAACAAAGCTTCGGGGTTCATCTTGCCAAAACCTTTGATTTGAAAGGGATCAACACCATCATAAGCGCTCCGAGGAACCGATCTGGCTTCGATCTTTGGCGCGTAGGAGAGCGCAAGAATACCGGCAATGTACACGACTAGGATGATCGTGGTAAAAGCCCATATAAAATGACTCTGGGCCTTTTTCCATCGGCGAGGAAGTTGAAGCCCAGTTGAAAAGTTTTGAAGCTGAGAGTACTCAGAAGGTTTCTGGGGAAACGGAGGAGGGGGTAACGCTGGGAGGTCCATTCTTGGGTGGCTTGGGAAACTCGAAGTCCAGTGATATTCGTCCACTACCTTTCTGAAAAACGCCCGGGATGGAGGGATGGCCATTGAGCGTGATAACATGCAGCGGTTTGCCGTGGTCGGATCGGGGCGCTGAAGATAGGAGGAGATAGCGTCGCCAATAGTCAAGAATAAGTCATGTCGATCCTCGTAGGCAATCAGAAACATGCAAATCAGCTTGACCAGGCTACAGATGATCACAGCCACGGCGATGGGGACGTAGAAAATTAGCTGGTAGTTTTCCACGCTGTTTTCGCTCAAGCAATAATCGATTGTAAAATTAAGGTCTAAACCAAAAGTGGTTGGACGAACGTCGCAACTGCTCGTATGGAGAGCTAGGTCGAAGCTATCCCTGTTGCTCTCAACTTGGGCCACCATTTTAAATGGATGATGGTCCGTTGTGAGATATTCAGGATGGCAAATGAGTTCCCGATCCATCGACCCGATATCTCCATCACATATCCAATCGTGACCCATACCTGATCCATCATTAGCCACTTTGATGGCATCTTCCGAGCTTGTCGATAGTGCTGCATGGTTTGGATCTGTTTTATAATTAATCGAGGCAAGATTATTTGGATAGCCGTATCCACTAAAGTACAGCGAGTTATTAGCATTTGAGTCCGAAGTAATGCCAATGACAGTGCGTCGATCTGATAGAAAATCAACAGCATATTCGTTGAGGCAATCCGTAACAGATAAGCGCTGGAAGCGTTCAGCGAGAATTTTGTCTCGGAGGTCGTCTGCGTCATGGCCCGCAAGAGTTTTGAAACACGATGTGACATTAAAATCATGTGTAGGCATGCTCGTGTTTGAGACAAAGGCCTCGGGTGCGATAATTGCTGAGTATGTGTTGACATTTTGAGACGAGTAGACGACTGAGTTGTAGCTGCGCGCCATTAGCTCGAGTGAACTAGTGGCTTACTGCTGATGCCGACTGGGACACACACCTGAGCTGTATTGCGAGCGATGTCGCTGTAAGTAGCAACCAGAAGAACTTGCGTTTCCAGCTGACTTTGGAGAAGTTTTGAAGACCAAATGTGGCGATAGTGAGCCAGACGCGCTGCGAATGAGCCTCGTCGACAGCCTTGCGAGACGGCGCTAGGACAATATGGCAGCAGTAGCTGCTAGTAGCTGTTAGAGTAACGCTTAGCACGTTGACGAGAAGATGGAGTCCGGTCTTGGCTCTGTCGATTGCTTCTCTAGAACCGCGAGATAGCACAACTGAGTCGAAGCTCACGCCGTTCGCAGAAACTCCTAGAGCGACGGCAAGGAAGATAATATTGATGAGCAAGACTGCGACATTAGCCCATGCACACCAACGCACAGGGTCCTGCCATTCCGGGCGCTTTGGCTTTGATGGCTCATCATCGCTGCTTTCATCCAAGTCCGAGCTTGATTGTTGTTCGATGTCTTCCCCAGAGCTGTGATTCGACACTGGAGAGCACTGGGAGCTAAGTAAAGGGTCGCTTGAAGATAGTCAGCTTCGGCAGTGAAACTCCGTAAAGGTAAAATCTCGCACATTGGTCTCTGCAGGGGGTGCATTTCGAACTGATCCGAGCTGCCTGAGGATCTCGGTATAGCAGATGAATCATTGGATACGTTTGGGTGGAGACTAATTTCGGCCTCGTCGCTTCTTAGCGTCCGTATGTTCAGCGAATTCTGGTCATGCGAGGCCATACTGAACACGCCATGTGGTGAAGCATGTCAACAGTGTTTCGCTGCACGCACGCGCGCGAACCAGGATATAAGTATTTGTCTCTGAGAAGGGTGCGCCCTGTCAGGGGTTCCACCCATCAAAACCACTAAGCCTTTTAGTTGCTATTTTAGAGTCGAAATAAGGTGTTCGGATGGCACAGCAGCCTATGGTCGATCGTGATCGCTGGATCAACACGTTATGATTCCCACGCGGGAAATAGTGATTGGATGCAGTTGGCCCCCTGTTCCTTAGGGCGTGGGGGCTATTTCGACTCGCGTGTGCCCAAGCCGCGTCTCACAGCCCGTGTTCAGCTCTGGGTAATTTACCCTCTCTTGAATGGGAAGGGATGTGCAGTTCGCCGGTGGCTGAATTGTGGGCTGTTCACCTTCTGCAGGGCAAAATTGTAATGTAACCTGGCCTGAGTCGGGGCTGTGCTGGGGTACGCACACTGAGCACTAAAAACATCTCTCTGGAGGTTCTCTTTTCTGCCAAGTTGATTCGAAACTGGACTGGTAGATGCAGGGTGCCGAGAGTCGGAGAGCCGTATAGAAGCGAACTCCAATTCCATCAGAGATTATCGATGCAGTAAACAGTGTTTTGTCTCCCAGAATGATCATCTCCCAGGGTACCAGTCGAGTTCCACCCACCACAAGGCAGGGATCTCTCGCTCCACTGCACCCGGGTTTGCCTTTGTGCCCAGGTGAAGCATTAGCGTCGTTAGTCCATCTTACAATCTGTAGAAACAAGTCGCTTTTTCGTATATCTAGCTCACGTCTCTTGGTCTACCACGACCATGATAACTGCACTGTACTAGTCCCAAATAGGAGACAGAGAAGCACGGAGCAAAGAACAATCGACTGTATTCGTTCTATGTTGAGGGGGACGGGCTGAGAGAGAGACGGGGAGATGGAGAGAGAAGAGGGAGAGCTACATTTATCTGATCTTAGTCCTACCAAGGTAGGCGGTTATGGATTGAGGGAATATATCAATTCGCTTAAAAGTATTTTGTTAATCATATCCTCCATCCTATGCCATCCCCCCATTCACTCGAAGTGTCTGTCCTGTCACCCAGCGACTATCACTACTACACAAAAACGCAATACTATCAGCAATATCCTCAGTCTCTCCAATCCTTCCATTAGGATTGGCGTTTTTCAAAAAATTCAGCGTCTGCTCGGACTGATTTCGCATAAACAGGTCGGTGGCAGTAGGGCCGGGAGCCACACAATTAACACTGATTCCTTTGCGAGCGACATCCTTGGACAGGACCCTAGTCATCTGCTCGACTGCGCCCTTACTTGTAACATAGGGCAAGTAGACAGGCGTGACAGTTGAGGCAGCACAGAGTGTTGTAGATAAGAGAACAATATGTGACCCGGGGCCCATATGCGGAACGGCTTTCTGTTTCTGGTTAGCTTTGTTCAAGAGACTACAGTTGAAGGGACTCACCTGGCATAAGAAAAAGGGTCCTTTAACATTTATGGCGAACATTTTGTCATAGGCCTCCTCGGTCGTTTGTTCAAGTGTAGTCAGGGTCATAATGCCAGCGCAGGGGACAAGAAGATCAATCCTGCCAAAGCGCTGGATAGTTTGTTCCACGAGAGATGTGATTTCGTCGACATCGCCTACATCGGCTTGGATTGCGATCGCTTTGTCGGTGCCAATCTGATTCACAACCTCGTCGGCTGCTGCGGGGTTCGAGTTATATCCCACTACCACGTTGGCTCCGTCCTTGGCGAGGCGTAGGGCTGTGGCTCGGCCAATTCCTTTAGAAGCACCGGTGATGAGAGCGACCTTTCCGATGAGAGACATTGTCGAAGACTGGTTATTAGAAGACAACCTGGAATATAATTATTTTATTGAATCAGGTCAGGTTCTCGACTTGTCTCTCTTTATACAAATCCAAAGAGGCGGGTGGTGAGATCTCGCTCCGGGGGTATGCGGATTTACGTGCGGTGTCCGTCATGTATACTCCGGTCCACCGGTTCTAAGGCACTTATTCGGATATTTGACTCTGAGGTCGGTAGAATATTCTTCTTTAGAAGTTCTTCAACCGCAAAGTCCGAGATTTCAATCTCACCAACTTGCGACCGGGGGAAAGGCGACCAGTCCCCTACATCTGCCCTGGTAAGCCGTAAGTCCAGGCCCGAAGCCGGTCTTTGTCGGACTCATCGTGCGGTTCTAGATATGCTGAGATTAAAGCGGTTGTCATGGGAGTCGTGCGGTATGCATCACTCGGTGATACAGAGTGTGTAGCTGGATGGAAAATGCCATGTCTGTCGAGCAGCAGCCTAACTCAAATGCCAATCTTAGATAGCGCATCCAAAATTATTCCTTGACCGCAAATCGTAGTTTCTCGCGGAAAGTCTATATTGTGCATCGGCTGTATTTTGCTGTTGCGGCTTTATCGTCGATCTCCGAGCTCCGAGCAAGCAGCGACCGCAACATTCTGTAGGAAGAAAACCACGTCATCGGACCGAAACAAGTTCCTTTCCTACACATGTTTGAGATCGGTTCATAATGAACTGCAACGATCCAATCTCTGAACAGTTGTTGATCCTATGCATGCGGAGTGCGGCTGATCTGTAGAGGAGGTCGAATGGTTTCCCATTTTGGCTGATTCGAGACGATCTTGCCTTCTAACTTTCTAACCTGCTTTCCGTTGGGTTATGCCCGACCCGTAATACAACGTGCACGATTCATGACCTCGTCAAATATGAGACGCTCAGTCTGTCCGCCTCGTTCAATCTCGATATACTGCTAGCCACCTGATGTGATAATGTTAGGGTCAAATCCAAGCTCGTTCATGCAGAGAAAGCCAAGGATGGTGGTCACAAACTGAAGCCCACCATCCTTGTTGATGTCGAATCGTTCGGAGGCGCGTCAATTTAGTAACACATCACCCTGTGATCGTCGCGTGCATCTAATATTTCACGTCCAAAACCCGCCGTACTGCCTGCCGATTTTGCTTTTTCAAAAGTCAGACCGCTAGTGATCAACGATAGCTTGGAGCCGGTTTGATTCTTGTTCGTGTCTGGTTTGGCTGTCTGCTGCCCAGTACATCCAATAATTGGTGTACAGCTTGTTATTAGAATAAGTCATCTATCATGTATGGGCAGGAATAAGATATAAATACCACAGTGGCTTTCCTTATAGCCAGCAGGAAAGTCACAGCGTATATTCATTTATAAACTCACACCAACGCGACAACGATCATGAAATTACACAGCGTCCTTCTTCTTGTTTCTCTCTTTTCACCTCTTGCACCAGCATTTTCGACAGCCGAGTGCAAGAACGTAATGAATTCAAAGTGGCAGAAACTTTGCAAAACAGGAGGGCCAAAAGCCGTGAGAGCATGTTTCCAAGGAAAGTTCATGGGACCACTCCAGCAGATGATGGCACAAGAAGGAGTCGACAAGCACTACTTACAGGAGGCATTTTCTTGTGAAGAATACGCCTGCGATCCTCTGAAAGCAAAGGAATGTAGGGAGAAATTGGTGGCCCAGCTTAGCAAAGAGGATAAAAAAGAGGGCATGAGGAAGGGAAAGAAGGTTTGGAGCAAGAACCGGGATAAAATTTTAAGACTTTGCGCGTCCGTGGAAAGCTGCTAAAAATACCTTTTAAGGTAAGTGCACGCAGGGAACGACGCAATATTGTTTAATACTAATAAAGCATCAGCTTGATCACGAGAATACTGGACACGGCATGTTATCCATATCTATCACGGATTACTCAAAGCACACGTGGATAACCTTGGTGAGACTACTTTTGGGGTACTGGCAGCAGTCGGCTGTTTTACAACATCTCATGGCTTTATACTGGTTCCTTCTGGGTCCATGCTAGGCTTTCCACTGTTAGCTAGTTATGTCCCCTAACCTTCACTCGAGCGCAAGTGTTTGTTCGCATTCTTTCTCTCTATTTGCTTCTCTCTGTTCGCTGGATGAAACGATTTTCGGGCCTGTTCGTATGTACATGGTTTCAGACTTGCATGTTCATTCCAAGTTCGCTATTCACGGATGCAGGTAAAAGCAGACTGGTTACCAAGACTCTTAAATACATTGGGGTCCTGGTTATACATCACTAAAACTTTAACATAGATCGAGATCTGCGAGCGATTTACTACTTTAGCATCATCATGCTAGACTAGCCCTTGCCACCTACAGCGACATATCGAAGAGAGACTAGGGGTTCAAGACCCTGCAATGGGTGAGGTGTCTGATCGGTGGGAGACCGATGCCCACACGCGAGACGAAGCGCTCGCATTCAATGCAACCTACCTGTCCTTCACCACAAGTGACTAATTACGTATGTCTACTGCAGACTCCATCACTGATCAGCTGCGACCTCTATCCTTACTTCGACACAGAATCTGAACTTCTACATCGTCTCACAGAACCCTCGGAATCCTCGTTCGCTACGAAGCTTCGTACCACTGTCTACTTTATTCTTGCTCTGAGTGCACCGGCTTGGGCTTGTGCGGGAGATTGAAATATCACACGGCATGGACAACCCCCCAAATCCGTATGGATTGGGGATCAAGGTACCACCGAGCTCGTAGGTCAGTAGTGGGTTAAGAGTCTGAGATATATATCACGGTTATCTTTGAACTTATTTCGTCCTACTCTTATTAAAACGCGATGTACGAGGGTAGATACATACATCACAAGGGTCAGTGATTGATTAATGAGTATTTAAAAGGGATATTGAGGCAAAAAGCTTAGGATAATAGGATAATAGGAACATGTGTATCATAGAGAATCGTGGGTCATAATTAGAAAAAAGTGAGTTAATTTCACGAACAGCACTGGTGGTGTATCGGTAACATTGGAGCCTTCCACTGCCACTATCATATGATAGTTGTCAGCTCTAGCGCGGGGTTCGACTCCCCGTCAGTGCATTACTTTTTTCTCACTTTTTTTTCCCTCTCCCTCCAAGAATTGTAGACGAAGCGGACGCGATGTCAAAAAAAAAATAAATGATAATATTGACATTGTTTTCCCATTTATTTTCTTGCTGTCCACTCAACAAACCATTCTTTTCGATCAACTACCGCCCGCTAATCCTATCTACTGCCCAACTACCCAGCTCCCGTCATCAAATGCCACACCCAGTAACTTACCCTCGGAATAGAATCTCAAATACTAACGATATTCCCGAACTTCCTGCCGGAGAGCCAGCGGGTCCAGATCTCGACATTAGGCCCGTGGAGCCCGACATGCCGCGAACCCTTTCCGCGGAGGGGAGTGGAGACGATCTGACAGGTTCATTTTAGCATTACTGACATTCTTCAGCCGCTGGGCACGGAGTGGATTCCGCGATGGATACTTGGGAGATTGGCAGGGGATTAGGGTTTTCGATTGGTTGGACTTTTGACTATTTTTTTGCAATTGATAGTTTACTTTCATAGGTATATGGGTTCTGGGCTTCGTGTCAACGGTGGGATCCAGGTTGAGTATAGTAGTCAATGTGTCGTGTAGGGTGTATTTTCTACAGTAACATAGATATCAGAGAGTAATTGTTGAGTTAGTATACTGTCCTACTGTGTGAGAGTCCAGGAAGATCGGCTTAGACCCGTCCTCCTTAATGCAATCATGAAAGAGAAGCTTGATAAGCTGTATACTCACAAGAACGAGAAAAACGAGGACAGCCAAGTTTACCTTTCGGCCATCTCAATTGGTGGTAGAGTCTCACGTACCTTGGATGTCGTCTGGCCTACCTCAATGCGAACGACAAATCCAAAACAATCCAGGCCCCCATAGCCACCGCAACACCATCTCCTCCCCGTGCCATATCCAGCCCAACCTCGGGGGTCTGTAATCCCAATGATGATTATCCCGGAAAACAGTACTCCGCAACCACCTTTGACAGTATAGTAAACCAACAACAATACATACGCAATCGTCAAAATCAACCAATCCAAACCCCCAGCCTGAGCACCGGACACGGAGTAGTAAACACCGGCAAATCCATGCATAACCGCCAAACCGCCGGTCATCGGCGAAAAGATCCAAAACCGGACGTTTCCAGGGGGTAGAACCCGCGCAGGTCCATGTAGGGTTAGCAGTGACGTCTCAACAGAAGTAGCGGGAGCCGCAGTTCCAAATCCGGGAAACGGGGGAAAGGTGGGAACTATTCGCAATTCCGATTTATTGGATTGACCAAAATGGAGAGCGGAGATCCCCACCGACTAACGGGTTGGCACTTAGCAGTAACTAGTCGCGTCAGAGTAAATTGTGTTGGGCCGAATGGACTGCCGGGCTGATACCCTCGGGTAGGCCGAGGGGCGGGAGAATATTATCGAGGAATAGCCGATTGACTTCTCCGTCCCGCCGATATGTTTGTGTCATTTCCGAGGTGGAATGGGATCGTGGCTCGTTATTGGTGTAGGGAGGAGCCAGTAGGTAAGCCAGTAGGTTCCTGTAGCTAGGAGAGCTAATGGGTGCGCTGGGACACCGTTGGGAGATGGTGGGCTTTGTTGAGGCGGCCGCATGCAGGTAGATGAGGTCATCGGAAATGAGATATTCTTTTCCCTCGGATATCAGTATGGATGGTTATGAGTATATCTGAGTCTTCTGAGGTGGTGAGTTGGGAGTTGGGAGTTGGGGGGATAGTGGGGAGTGGAGATTCCAAGCTTAGAGTGGAGTTGCACTATAATTTCTATAGGAAGCACAAACATACAGACAGAGACACAGACATAGACACGACACAGACATGACACAGACACGACATAGAAGTTACCTCGTTTTGGATATCCCTCAGATATCCCTCACATACCAAAGTCCGGATATCCGGACTCGCGAATATCTTCCGGA